AGCAGCTGTAAAACTTCTGGCATGGCTGGCCTTACTACAGCAGTGTTGTGCAAAAATCTGCCTCCTGATTTGTTTAGTTGGCTTGGTGTCTGTCCTGGGAGAGAAACAAAGTGATGGGAGGAAACAGGGGACACAGACAAAGCTCCTTGTTGTTCTATTGGAAGGGTGTCAGAGGCTCCCTTGTGGTGAATGTGTTGGAAACCCACCATGTATCCCTTCTGCTTGATGCCTGAGCTCTTGTTGAAACTGTAGTGCTGACATGGGATGTACTGATGGGGCCAAGCCCCTTGAGTTCCTTACCTCTGCTGAGTGAGTTTCTGGAGGCTTCACAGTCAGGTCTCCCAAACTATCTCTCTAGGCTAGAGAATAGGGACTGTGAAGAAGATCGGGTTGTTTGTTGTAGCTGGATCTCTGGGTAACACCTGTAGCCTTGATGCTCAGACCTACTTTAGGTCTTAGCCCCATGACAGCTTCTGCCAAGCATCTTGGTCCTTGTTTCTGCAGACAGGGCCTCCATGCTGCCACCCAGCATGTGCAGGCAGGGGAGGTGGTGTGCCCTCTGCCCTCACCCACGCCTCCATCCCCTCTCTGCGAGACAAAGGTAGGATGTTGGTCTCCATCGGGGCTGGGTGCTTGCTCTCCCTGCTTCCTGCACAAGGCTGGCAGATGGCTCTGGCTACTGGGCTGGGAGCAGCTGCTGCTGCCAGGCGGAAGCACTCGGTGAGGCTTTCCTAGACAGCTTTGAATGGGAGCCAGGAGCCCTCTCGCTACAGGAGAAAATCCACGAGGTCAGGAAATGCAGCAGCAGCTCCGGCTCCACACTGGGGCTGTTGGCTTGGCACGTGGATCCCAGCCCTCCTCTTTCCAGACGGTGCTCCTGGAACTGCTCTCCTCCTTGCTGTCTCTCTCAACTGTTGCTTGACAGCCCTGTGTGTGGCTTTTGGAGGGTGTAGTAGTAGAGTGCTGCAGAGGTGATAAATTTGGATAGAGAAACACTAGATGGTGATCTGGATCAGACTTTCAGATCTCAAAGAGCTTGAAGAAGATGGAAGAAGCATTGCTCCTGCTCTGTGTGGGACTGGGAGGCTGTGCTTTTGTGTTTCCCTCTGTTATTTTGTGGTCAGCTGTGTGTGGGCTCCGTGTTGGCTGCTGAGCAATAGAAACTGGAAATCCTCACATCAGGAGAAGCTTTCACAACCACCAACAGGCTGTAAAGCTCCATCCGGTGTGTAACCAGCATGAAAACTGGGGTGTCTGTTACCATCTCTCTGATGAGAGCCCCACTCTTTCTCCCCTGTGCCTATTTTATAGAAAGCCAGAAACACTGCTTTTGGGATGGTTGTTCCTTGAAGCAGCCCCTATGGTGGTGGTGGTGGTGATGTTCCTGTGGCACTGAGGAACAGTCACCCCTGTGTTGAAACTACGGGTGCATCGAAGAGCAGCCTTGCTCTTCCCATGCTCAGGAGCAAAAAGTGTGATGGGGGAATTATGAGATGGTGTTGGTAAGCTTAAGGATAGGACCAGTTGCCCAACTCTGTGGCAAAGTTTGGCCATATGGAAATCTCTGCTTTCCCTGCAGCCTTTGGCCAGGCTGTTTCTTCTGTGGGATTTGCCCATGCTCTGGTGTGCATTTGGGTCTGCATGCTGCCCATGTGAGGAGCTTGGACTGGGGAAAGGAAACAAGCTCCCCTGAGCATTGATTTTAGCCCACATTGATTCAGGCAGCTCTCATGCCCAGAGCTGTCCATCATTCCCCACGCTCTCGCTCTGCATTAAGACATGTTCTGCAGCAATGGTATGGAGTGGGTAGGTTGGACCTGCCCTCCTTTGCAAGCTGCAGAATCTGTCCTGCCACTGCAGGGGCGAGGATGGCAGAGTAGTGGAGAGTTAGCTGAGGTGACAGCACCTTGGAGGGATGGTGTCAGTGAATAAACACCAACATTGCAGAGGTCTTGTATGTAAATTGTCCATGTGTGGGCCACAAGCAGGGAGTAGCAATAGCTCCTTTGCCCTCCTTGTTTTCCCTGCCTCTCAGGTGTGTGTGAGGGGCAAGAAGATGTGGATTTGTGTTTCTGTGGAGGACCCAGATCTTAAAACTCTGTGCTAAGGTGGTGATAGGCAGGGCTTGCTGGTGTGTGGCTGCCCCTCTGCTGTGCAATGGAACTCAGCTGGGGTCTGGAGCAGGAAGACGTTTAAGCTGATGTGGGTGACCACCTTGTCCCCTACCTCCTGCTGCAGTGTGTACCATAAAGCTGCTATGGCTGTGTGGGCTGGGCGGGTCTTCCAAAGGAGTAGGCAGTGCTTTCCACTGGGGTGGTCTTGAGGGAGAACCCTCTCCTAGAGAACTTATGTCTTCTCCTCCCTGTCTTGAGTCAAAGCTTTCATTGCCTTAGCAAGTCCTACAGGCCTGGGCAGTTGTGCTGTTTTCCCTGAGCATCTTTGTGGCAATTGCTTCATCATCAGTATCAGATGCAGAGCAAAGTCCTTGTGTTTTGCTGGGGGTTGCAGATCTCCCTGCTCTGTAATAAAAGGCGGGAGCTGGTCACAGCACTTCTTCAGACCCCCCAGGACCCCTCTGTGTTCAGCTGTGAAGCTGTTTGCTGAAGGACCGATCCCCCCCAGACAGCTGTGCTGGTGGAGATGGTCAGTCAACATTTGCTCCTGTCTTAGTTTAGGGCAAATTAGGAAGGAAAACTCCAAATGGAGATTTCCCCAGGGAAATGCCCCTCCCCACCAACTGGTCTGGGAAAAGAAAAAATTCCTTAGAGAGAAGTGGAAAAAGCTGTTTATTTAACAGAAATTGAGTAATATTAAATAATAAAACCTCTTGCTGTTCGATGGGATGGCAAGTCTAGGAGGAAAAAAAAGTCCTTTTCATGTGGTGTAGCTCGGCTCGCTCAGGTTCTTATCAGTCCCTCCGGCGCTGGAAAGTGCCGAGGCCCAGGCCCCGGTGGGCCACAGGCGTGAGCTCCCGGGGTTTGGCTGGGTGTTCAGTCCAGAGCAGGCTTGCACAGATCCAAGAAAATTGGGAAAAAAACAAACAAAGGTCCAGGGAACTCCTCTGCCTCAGCTAGCTAGAACTAACTAAAAGCCAGAGAGAAGCTCTGTCCCGCTGTCTGTCCGTGCTGCAGACACCACAGTCCAGGAGCGGGATGTGTGGGAGTGATGTTTTTCCTTAACACAAACTGCGCGCTTCTTCTTCCCCCTCTCTTGCTCTCAAAGCCAGTCTTAAAGGTGCAGAACTTAATATATAACATAAACCAGACGATTGGGGATACCAGTATCATAAAGTCATCCCAGGACAGCTCCTCAGTCCCCTTTTCATTGTGTCTCTTCCCAGAGAGATCAGAAGCCTGGGGTGAGGATCTCTCTTGTCCCTGAGAAGTAGTGCATGTGAGAACATCATAGACGTGAGGGCATGCAGAGTAACGTGTGTGCAGAGTCAATTAGTGAGATCACTTGGATTCTCTCCTGAAGCCTTGCTTTCAATCTGCAGCTCCTTCCTGGCTGCCAGAACAGAGGCACATTGGACTCTGAGGGGAATCAGTGTCACTTTCAGGTAGGCTAGGGTATGGCATTATTTGCACTTATTATACCCCTGCCATTCACCACTTTTCCATCGTGTTTAACTACTTCTCCAGCATAGCAAACCAGAGGTCCTGCTTGGCATCATATTTATTACCTGGTTGCTCTTTTGCTCCTTTTCCCTTCTTTAGGATTCTGGATGCTGAGAAGGGCGTGAGCTTTGCTTGCCTTTCTGCTATCAGATAGCAGCTCAGGAAAGGGCTTCAGCAAGAGGTGGTTGTCTGATTGCTCCCTCCTTGAGATGGAGATGGAACTGTCCGGGGGGTTTAGGGTTAGTCAGGTGGGGATTGAAGGCAGAAAGTTCTGGCCTCCTTGCCATTAGATCTTTGCTATATTAGTAAATGCATCAGCTGTGGTCTGGGTCTAGAACAGCCTTTGCTGGCACAGTTTGTAGCAACTTCCAGAGTTTAGGAGCAGGGCTGGCAAGCCTGGGGAGGAGGAGGGTGGAGTGATTTAAGTGATTTTAATCCCTGTGAACACTGAAGTGTTTCTGACAAGGGGAACTGTGAGTTTGTCTTCCTGCTACCTGCTGCATTTTGTGTGGCTTCCCCAGAGCTTGCAGATGGTGGCTGAGAACGAGTATCTGACCCTGGAGTGACTTTCAGTAGGCAGGGCTTGCAGTCCAATGAGGGTGGATTTCTATTTAAACCTTTGGGGTTTTGTAGTCTTCCTGAGTTAGTTCCTCTTTCTCAGCAGACTTGGAGCAGAAATTTAAGGGAGGAGCTGGGGAGACATGAATCTTCTGCTGCTGAAAGGCCATGGGAGGTACTGCGGAAGTGTGGTTTGCTCATCCTGACCCTAATCATCGTTGTCAGTCAGCACCTTTTGTGGCAGCATCTCTTTTCCCCTGTTGGGTGTGCGAAATTCAGCTCAGGGAGCAGGGATGCCCCTTCTTCAGTTCTTATGATAGCACCACCATTAGCTGGAGGACAGGCAGAGGGTGGGGATGTGCCACTGTTTCAACTCTGCTGTGTGGTTTGAGGTTTAATGCAGCTTTGAGGGTGAAGACATGGAGCATATTTGGGCAGGGCTGGACCTTTTTCCCTACTCTTACGGGAATTGACATTCCAACCTTGTTGTCCAAGGGTTTCAAATTTATCTAAAGATTTCAGATTGTCAGCTTGAGATAAGGTAAATTGGGAACAGTGCTGAGCACTTCTGCAAAACCAGACTTCTTAAACTGGTTACTTTAGGGGTTGATGTACACAGCCTGTACCTCTTGTTTTCTCATCAGTAGTGCTCTTCTACCTCCTGAAGTTTGCTTAAGTAACCTGTGAAGTTTGCATCCGGACAGTCAGGCTGAAGGATTACAACAGACCACAGGATAAGCAGATTTTTTGTATTTGGTTTGATGGATTATTTTTCCCATTTTAAAGTAACCTCTCTTAGCATAGTGACTATGTTTATCCTTGCAGGTGGTGGTGCTCCTGGAAATCCTGAGCTGGGGTCAGCTGGAAGATGACCGAGTACAAGCTGGTGGTGGTGGGAGCAGGTGGTGTTGGGAAGAGTGCTTTGACGATACAGCTCATTCAGAACCATTTTGTTGATGAGTATGACCCCACAATAGAGGTAAGTGGCTCTGGGCATGGGGTCAGTCTGTCTGCATGTTTTTGTCTTCCTTTTCTCCACCTCATCTCCAACCCAGAGCATGCTCAGTTTGGTCTCAAGTCTGAACTTGAGCAGGGATGTTCCTCTGCTTTGCAGAGCTATTCTGAGTCACTATGTGTGTGTTCAGAGGTCGCAGTGACCGACTTAACATCTCCTGCAGAAGGATAGTGGTGTCTGCTGAAGAGAGGTGACATGGGAGGCTGGCAGAGCAGGGCAGGGGCTGAGAGGCAGCACAAAAGTCTTCCTTTCTGATGAGATGACAAAATAGGGAGGGATTAAAGGTTTAGAATTGAAGAGCCATTTTGTGCCTGTGCTTCCATTTCTTCTCCCATGAAATCAGAGTAAATGTATTGACTTTTTCTGCAGGATGTTTTGAGCTTTACTGATGAAATGGGTTTTATCAGAGCTTGGTTGTATTATGTATGTCTTGCAGTTTGAGCGAGACGTGCTGAGCAGTTGAACTACTGTGGCTCCCAGAGTGCTGCCTCTGCTTCTTCACGAGTTAAAAGTGTGATGTGTGTGTCTCGGTCAGTGTGGATGGCAGCACTGACCTGTCTAGCTCAGCACCCTGCCTGAAGAAGCAGGCAGGGACCCTGTGATTCTCACAGGCTGTGTCGGGGCAGATTGGGATCCAGTCTTCAATATCTGTTGTACTATTATTATTTTCTTTAATTTTTCAAAAAATATATTCCATTCTCTGTCTGCTTTCACCATAATTAGCCACATGTTAATTAGCCTCTGCATGACTGACACCTTTGTTGAGTGAGATGTAGGCAGGAGCCACTGCTCTGCACAAGGAGTAAAGTCCACCCTAAGAAGGCAAATTGCAGCTCTGTCATGCCTCTTGGACAATAACCTCCCTGTCTGTAGTCCTAAAGGATTCTTTACCAGATGCGTATAAATGCAGCTGTGGTTGCTGCAGTTATTATTATCATAATGGCTAAAGGCCCCAGCTGGGATGAGAAATCTATTCTGGTAGGTGTTGTCTTTGTAGTCCCCACCCTGAGGAGCTTACAACTTACATAAACAAGCAAGACAAGGCTTGGTAGAAAGGCAGAAATAGTCTTACAGTCCTTCAGATGGGAAGGAGAGAAAGCACTTAAAAAGCACGTGCTATTACATCATTTGGCCAAGGTCACCTAGAAAGCCCATGGCAGAGACTGGAATTTAATTCAGGGCTCCTGAGTCTCCTTGCTTATGGATGAAATTGCCTTCGTCCCCAGCTCCTCTCCCCTTATGTGGCTGTCCTCAGTATTATTGTATACTTTTCGCAGAAACCCATTTGGGGTTGATTTTGGCAAAAGATCCTCTCATGGAGAGTAACCTCCCTGGGGAGACATCTGCATAGTCTCTCTTGGACCTTAGGTGGGCAGATGCAGCTCTTATCCAGTGATGTGTTGGGTTTTGGCATCCTGTGTTTTTTATCTCCAGATGCCTGCTCCCTGTACGTACCCTGCAGGGAATTTTCTCCATGTAAACAGGCAGCAGGGAATGTAAACCTTGCATGGCATTTCCCAGCACACCCTCCTCACCCTACCCACTTCTGCACTGCTCTGGGAGACGCTTGCTCTCTCCTCCACTGTTCACTCCAGCCCCATTCTGTTCTTCTCCTCTTCCAAAAGCTGCCACAAGCTGCTCTTCAGCCCTCTCACCGTTGGTACTTTTCCATCTGCGGGTACCACCAGCCCTGATGCCTTTGCAGTTCCCTTGGTTGTACCCTGCTTCTCCTGGTCCCCTGGCCAACTACTGATTCATTTCAGGGTGATTCCTTTTAATTATGCTTCATTTTATGAGGATTTAAGAGACAGAGAGCTACCTGCTAGCCATCCAAATGTGACCAACAAACCACCTTCCTGTGACTAAGCTGCTTTGGATTGTGCCCAGGAGCTGACTATGACTGTTCAGCCAGCTAACAAGCAGCAAAGCAATGCTGAAATGAGCAGGATAAAAGCAGGGGGAAAAGAGGATACATGCATGGAGCAAAGGCGTTGCCCATCGCCCACATGGATTGAGCACAGACAAAGGGGGGTGGCAAGCAGATTGGGGTGCACTGAGAAGATGCTCCCAGAGCAGGAGGATTGGAGGTTTGTCCCCTGTCTGGAGCAGAGACCCTGACTGGGTGTCACCCTGACACCCTGTACCTCCTGATTCACATGTGCAAATGTTTGGCTGTGTAACTCTACACTGTCCACCCCACTACAGCACACTCTCACAGGCCAGCTCTTGTGCTGCCAAGGATCTTAGGACTTTTGTTTTGGGAACAGGAGGGCCAAGGCAGCAAGGAAAGGTATGCCACTGTGTTGAGAAATTCTTTGGTTCGTCTTCCAGCTCTTAGCAGCTAGCTACTAATGGCTTCCCAAACCTCTGGTCATATCCTGACTGTACGGCTTAGCAAATGGGCCTCTTGGCCTGGTCCCCCAGCACAGCTGGGATGCTCCCAACATCTGCCTGGGATCTTGAGTCTGAACCCCAAACATGTTTCTGCTGCCTGTCACTTCGCAGCTGGGTCTGGCTGCATTCCCCTCTGCTCATGGTGGGACATGCAGGGCTGCAGAGGAGCGCTGAGGCTGCAGGCTGCTGGTGTGGGCTGGTGGCAGCTAGCCCTGCAGTGGCAGCCATGTCACCTGGGTATGTGGCAGGGACAGCTGAGCTGACATCCTGAGCTTCCTGGGGAGCGGGAGGTCAAATGAAGCTGTACACAAAGTGTTGATGGAGAGAGCTTGTCCCCTTCCTTTGCAAAGCATCCTCTGCAAGATTGTTTGACGTCTCTGTCTTGTGAGCCAGCTGGCTGGCCTTATGGGTAGCCTGTTGATGCCCTGAGCTGAAGTGTGGGATCTCTTTGTCAGCATGCTGGATGCTGGTGAAACATCCTGGAACTGTGGAGTTGGCAATTAACTGTGAACGTGTGTGCTGAGAGGCTGGTCCTCTGTCCCAAGCCAAGGTGCAGAGGTGGGAGGATGTTTTGTGGGGCAGAGGAGGAGGCACTCGAGTCCCCTTGCACAAAGGAGGTTCCAGATACATTATTGATTAGAAATGGGAGCACATTCCTGCAGGGCAGCCTGCCAGTTGCCTTCAGAGCAGTTGGCTGGAAGCCAGCCTTTCACTCCATGCTTATTCTCAATGGGTCAGCAGTCCACTTTTTGGGAAGGCACAGCTGAGAAGGTCATGGCAGAGCAGATTTCATCTCTGATTTCACACTCCTCTCTGCAAGGTGAGGAAAGACTTTAATTAGCCCCAGCAAATGATGTTGTTGTAATGAACCAAAGGATAGAGGCCGTGTTGGCCCCATTCCCTTTCTGTGCTGCTGCCAGTCCTGTTGGTGACCTTTGCTGTGTCGACTGTTTGTCTGCAGACCTGCAAAGCTCATCTGATAACATTGTTGTGGTCGTTGGAAGAGCAGCCGACATTTGAATAAATTTTAAACTGCAGCTGTAGCCTCTGTGAGTGGCTGCAAAGCCCTATGTGGTTGTACTGCTGACTTGTATTTTTTCCATACCTTTCATTTTGTCTTCCTTCTCTTGCTGAGAGTTGAGGATGCTGCATTGCCCACAGGAGATGGGTGTTGGAGAGGGATGAGGGATGTCCTCTGTGCAAGGCTGCCCCAAAGCATCTCTGCTGATGAGACTGAGCACAGGGAGAAGCATAGTGGGGAGGGGCAGTGCTTTGAGGAGCCTGCTGTGAAAATGAAACTTTTTGAGGGATGCTCTGGGTGATTTCCAGACCTTCTCACATCTATGATAAGTTGTGATTGCCTTTGCTGCAGGGAAAACCCCCAACTTCAAAGGACCTGCCTGGATAGTTCTTACCTCTCCTGTAGCCCTCTGGGCACAGACTGCTTGTGGGAAACACCCTGTTCACAGTGTGATTTGATTTTTTTTTTTTTCCCCTCATGTTTAAAGAAGAGGTTTACCATCAAACCCAGTCTGAAACCTTACTGATGGCAACATTGCCTCTGGTGCCTGATTTGAGATGCATTGGAGGCACTGGATTTCCAGGTTATCTTAAGCGCCTTCCAGCCCCGCAGATCACAGATAGTGACTGGAAGCCCTGGCTGGTCAGAGCTCCTGAGTGTCCTTACTCTTCCAGCAGAAGGAATTAGAGCCGAGACTAAACAATGCTTAGGAAATACTTGTTCAGGACTATGCAGCGTGGTAGAGATGAAGCTGCACCTGGTCTGCCAGAGGCAGGGCTGGGAATGGGGAGGGCAAGCTGGGAGCTGTCTTCTCTGTGGTTCTGACAGACAAGGAGAAACCTGCTTAGCTGCTCCCTTTTTCCTTTGTTTTTTTTTTATTATTTTTCCTTTCCCTCCCATGTTTGAAACAGATTGAGTCGTCTCTTTAATGGAAGCTGAACACATGCAGAGCATGACCTGGCATCTTCCCAGGGATGCACTCGCTGCATCCTTTTGTTTAGCCAGATCCAAGCCCTCCCTAAATGCATCCTCCTTCCTTTCCCTCTCCTGTCCTGCAGGATTCCTACAGAAAGCAAGTAGTCATCGATGGAGAGACCTGTTTGTTAGACATCTTGGACACTGCAGGGCAGGAGGAGTACAGTGCCATGAGAGACCAGTACATGAGAACGGGGGAAGGATTCCTGTGTGTCTTTGCCATCAACAACACCAAGTCCTTTGAAGATATTCACCAGTACAGGTCAGTATCCTGGGAAGGGCCCTTTCCTCTTGCCCTGTGCAGAGAGGCCTTGCTGCTGCACTCTCCTACCCACCCTTTTAGATCAGGCCCCATGCTGGAAGCACAGACTGCCAGCAAAGACAATTAGCTCAAGTGGCCATTCCCCAGGGAAAAGACAGAGCAGACGGCTAATGTCAGTGACTCCAATAAAACCCTTCCAAAGGGATTGCTTGCGGCCTTTGGGGACCTGGTAATGTAATGTTTAAGTGTTTATGGTGACTAAAGAGAGAGCTGATCCTGTATGACCCCCCTCCTTTCCCTCCCTAATTAGTGGAATTGCTTTGTTAGCGCAATCGATCTCAGTGACTTCTGCTGGCCCTAGAGCTGGGAGAGGAGGCTGGGAAGGACAGGGAAAGCTGCTTTGCCCTGCTGTCCACTGTCACGACCAGGCTGTGGTCTGCCAGCTGCACACACATGTGGAGAGACAGTCTTGCCCCACTGGAGCTTGGTTTCAACCAGGGCAAAGATGGAGCAGAATGGGAGTCAGGGCTCCAATGAGGTGTTTTGCCCAAGAAGATGTCTGGGGAAGTGGTGACAAAGCAGGGACCCTGCCCCAGTACCCATCCCAATTCTCCTCTCTGTTGATGTCACCCCTGCACAGCTGAAGAGTCAAGAGGATGATGTAAATACAACAGGAATCTTCCTTGTTTACCCTGATGCTACCTTAGGGAGGGATTGTTCTGCTTGTGCTTTTTCCTATGGCTTGGCTGCGATGGGAAGTACTTGCAGAGGATGCAGGAAACGGCTCTGCCTGTCCCTGCTCTGTCCCACAAGGGACTATGTATCCCAGTCCCTCATCATAAACCAGAGTCCCAGTAATCCTGTTCTGAGGACAGGCACATCCCTTCCTTGCTCTACCATCAGAGGTGCTGCTTGAAGCTGCTGAGATGTTTTAGTTTCATGCAAAAGGCTGCTCAGTGTAATAGCTGCACCGGTGCACTAATTTGGCTTTTAGCTGAACCAAAGGATGGGATTTTCCTAAAGCACCTGAGGGATTGAGCAGTGTTCATCCTTGTGCTGGGGCTGGTGCCTGTGCCTTGCTGGTAGGATGGCTCGATTTCAAGCTATCATGATGTAAATCACTGGCTTTCATCTCCTTTAGCCTGTGCTCTTTGTGTTTGCACTTTTAAAAGAATATTCCCCAGAGAAATGCTGGCTCTCCCTGGTTAGTAACCATTTGGAGGTATCTCTTTTCAGCTAAGTGTAGCCTATGCACTAAATTTAGTACTTGCATTTGCTGGTCAGGATGTTACACAGAACCTTTAAATGGCTTTATGGCATATCATGCATATAGTCAGACTTCATTTCTATGTTCTACTACATTAGAAAAAGATGATTGATTCTTTTGTGTGATAAATGTCCAGCTGCCTTTGGATGGAGATTTGCATTCAATTAAAATGCAGAAATTGGCATTTTAAATCTCTTATTTGTTAAATTAAAATCATGTTAAATGTTCTGGACCTACGAGCAAAAAAAAAGTTGTTTTGCATTTGAAGTCAAATGATTTATTAAGCAAAGGAAGTTATTATCTATCAGAAGGGAATTGAATGAATTGTTTGTGGTCATAATGGCCTTCAAGATTTTTAGAAGTGGTAGATCTCATTCTCGCCCACCTAGTTTTAGATCCAATGTTGGAATGAAGAAGTGAGCATTACAGATTTTTTAGTTCCCAGTTGGTTTCTCAACTCTGAGTGACCTGAACTAAACTGAAAGGGAGCAAATACTGCCTGTGCATCTGCAGAAAAGGCTACCGCTGCCAAAAGCTGCTTTATCAGCTCAGCAAGTTCTGGTTGCAGGTGATTTTTTATTCTTTTCTCCTCACTTGGTGCAATTACTTAATCTAAAATGTTGGAAATAGCACAGGTAACTGCTTGAGAATTCATCTTTATTTAACTTAAACTATCTTAAGCTCATGTCTTAATATAGATTGTCATAATTCAAGTTGTTTTGTAAATAGCTGCATTTAAAGCAGAAGTATGTTTAGTTTTCATTTCCAGAAGTTCCCTGTTTTGCTGTTTACTCACTTGTGTGCCATAGTCATTTATATTTTTCTGAAAGCTCAACACAAGGCACTCAACAGGAGTGATGGGTAGTTGTTAAATCTCAACAAAGAAACCGGTGGGGAGTGTTCTGGAGCTGCCCCTTCACTTCTTCACACCTCCTCTTGCAGGGAGCAGATCAAGAGGGTGAAAGACTCAGATGATGTTCCCATGGTGCTGGTGGGGAATAAATGTGACCTCCCTGCACGGACAGTGGAGACCCGGCAAGCGCAGGACCTGGCCCGGAGTTACGGGATCCCCTACATAGAAACATCTGCCAAAACCAGACAGGTAGGAGGAGACTTTTAAACAAAATGCTTTTTCTTTTCTTTCCTCCATTGCTGCCCCGGAGGGGCAGGAACGGGCAGGCACCGCCTTGCAGACAGATTGGTGTTAGGGATGGGCTTAGTTGCTTCCTCAGGGCTAAATGCTTTCTCAGGATGTTCCCTTCCCAGTCCAGGCTTGAGCCTCCCATCACGAGAAGTGCATCATCATGCTGTGGCAGCAGTGAAGACAAGATGCCTTCTCAGGGCATTCTCCAAGGCTCTGGAATAACCTCCACTAGTCACTGCAGGTCAGCTAAGCTCAGGTCACTTGGCTAACCTCATCCATGGTCTATTTGGGCAGACCTACAGGCAGAATATACCAGTGCTGATGAAAGGACCATGTCATGTTCCCAGAGCACAGAGGTGGAAATGGAACTGATACCTTCAGTGGTCTAGTGGTGGCTTTTCTCTTGGGTGGTAGACCTCATTCAGACTGCTGAGAGCTGCTGAATCTCAGGGACTTCAGAGCTCCTTATCCTCATGATTGCTCATTCAATCTCGCTCTCCGTTTGACAGCCACACTCAGGTCCTTGTTAGTCCTCTCAGCTTGGTTCTGTAACTTTAACTCTGCAATCGGCACTGCTGGACAGTGCTAGGGACACCTTGCTGGGGAGCAGAGCCCTCTCCTCTCTCTACTGTCCCTTGTCAGAGTGGGCAGCTGCTTCAAGTCGTGCTTTCTCCCCAGGGCGTTGAGGATGCCTTCTACACCTTGGTGCGGGAGATCCGGCAGCATAAGCTGCGCAAGCTGAATCCCCCAGATGAGAGCGGCCCTGGCTGCATGAACTGTAAATGTGTGGTATCGTGACTATGGTAAGTGGTGGAAGCAGGACATGGGGTGCAGTGGGGGAGCATTGGAAGCAGGGCAGGAGGTGACTGCTGATGCACTTAGCCTGCAAACAAATGCAGCAGGATCAATTTCAGTGGTAGGTATTTTTTAATGAAACACCTTTCAGACTGAAATAGCATTTTTCTGTCAAAACAGGTAAGCCAAAATTCCCACTTTCCTGAGGAAATGTGTGGCAGGAAAGGGTTGTTTATTTTTCCCCCTCATTTTGTGCAACAAAATTCTATGCAAGTGAATTTTTTTAAAAAGCATGTTTTGTTGTGCCTTCCCCAGGAAAGCTTCTTCCCATGCTGCTGCTTTGAAAGAGGAATTAAGCTGGTGTTGAAGGTGTACAGATCACTGCATGCTCACCAGACTGGCTCTAGAAGGGTTCAGATGAAGAGCTGGCTGGGTGCATTGCCTTGTAATGCACTTATATAAATTGCCTCATCCTAAAGCTTTAGAGTAAACCTGTCTTGCTGTGAAAAGTCCTGTGTTCCTCAGAAGAGTTTTCCCCATTAGATAAATCCCCTGGGATATTTGGAACTGATGCAATGTTGAGAATTAGCCATAAGGGGGCTGTTTGCTTTTATAAATTGTGCGTGCTGGAGCCAGAAACAGTGTTTTTCAGATTATTTATGTTCACTTGACTGTTTTTCTTCTTTTTCTTTTCTCAATTTTTTTTTAAATTATGAGTTTATTTAAAACACTGCTGGATAGGAATCAGGGAGAGCTCCTATTATTGTCCCTGCATGTGCTGGCTGGCATTAAGTGAATGGCCTGGGAATATCTGTCTGTGTAACCAGCTCCTTCCATGGCAGAAATTTAGAGAGGGGTAACTGGGAATGAGTCCACCAAGGAGATCTGTATCTAAGGACATCTGGGATTGGGACAAAAGCATGCATGAACATTGCCTTTAATGTGTTTTGGGGAGTCTCCCAAGCACCTGTACTGGCCCTTCACCCCTTTAAATAACTGCTGGAGTCCTAAAGAGAAGTGCACTGTATCAAGAGATGGTGTTAAGAGGGTCTTGTGAAGGTGGAGATGGACAGCAGGTTTTCTCTGATGCCTTTTGAGCTAGAGGCCATGAGCACAACAGAGCTCTTCCTCCTGCCCCCCACTCCCAAGGAAAAAACCCAACAAAACAGTGCTAGCAACATTTGCTTCCTATGAGCAAACACCCACCCCAGAACCCCACCCCTCCGCTATTAGCTAAGGCGTGTGAGGTCGGCTGGGGGCCGAGCTGAATGCTGTGCCCAGCACACTTATCACTGCTAAGGGAGATTTTCCAGATGTTTGTGTCCTCCAGATGTTCAGGAGCATTTCCTCCGGATGGGGATATGAGCTAAAGGCTTGTTTCCTGCTCTGGCTCACAGCTGACAGCATGGGCTTGGCATGCACTGCTGCTCCGTTACACCAACTGCCAGGAGCCCAATCCTTGCCATAGCCCAGGGGCAGCACCAGCTTGGGCAAGAAGGGCTAGGAAAGGGTCACTTGGAAACATCCCTCTCTGTTAAGAGAACATGCCCTGTGAGTTGCCTATGTCTTTCTCTGCTCAGGCAGAAACTGGAAGCCAGACATCCCAGCTTAATCTAGCTACAATGCAAGAGCAGAGAGGGAGGAACATCAAAGCAAAAAAGGAGAAGTGAGGCAAAGACATGCTAGGATTTGGGGAGAAGAAGGGTGGGTGTGTGGCCAACAAAATTTGTCTGCATTTGCCTTGGACTCATTTTATAATTTCCATCATCCCTGGAGAAGGTGGAAAGATCTTGCCAAACGGTGCTCCTTCCCACAAGGAGGTTCAGAAATAGGCAGAAGGTCTGGTGAAGTGTCCAAAGCTCCCCCATCACTCCAATGACTCCAAGACTTGTTCCTTTCAGCAGATGTGCAGATGCTTTGCTGAGCCAGGCCCACATTAAGACCTGTGTAGCCTTTTTGCTTTTGCTCTGTGGGCACTAGCAGGGTCATCCCAAAACCTGAGGGGTGAGTACTGGGAAAAGCCCTGCTTGTTCTGATGGGAAGTGGGTGCTCATGAGTGTCCTCTTCTGTTTCAGCTGTCTGGACCGTGTCTTGGTGAGGTTCCCACCGTGCAGTGCTCAAGGAAAAAGGTGAAGCAAAGGAAGAAGCAAATGGATTCAGAGGAGTATGGGGGGGGAGAGGAGGAGGAGGAGGAAGAGGACAGGGGGAGCATGACTCCAAGGACTATCTCGCACTTCACCCAAGCCTGCGGCAAACAACTTCTTTTTTTTTTATCCCCATCCCCTCATCCTTTGGCTCCTCCCACCCCGGCAACTGTACAAAGCCACAGATTGAATCACAGTAAATTATTATTTGATCGTCTCAACAAATCACCTTGATGGCTGTGTCCTCCTTCCAGAGGCTGCTGCTCCTGCTGCTGCTCTGGAAGGATTGCTGGTGGGATGGCGGGGAGGAAAGGGTGCTGAGATTTGCTCTCCACAGACCAAGGTCATGCTGTGGATTATGGAGGTGATTGGAGTGGGAGAGACAAGCTCTCAGGGCAGGACAGCTTGTCTCTGTCTCCAGCAAGTCTTTGTCATGTCCTCCCCAGCCCACCTGAAACTCTGCTGGCCCCAAGTTTTGGGAGGGTGGAAGAGTGCAACCAGTCCAAGCCCATCCTTGGCACCCCTTGAATGCTTTGCTTTCAGCCTAGTCCTTGTGGGATTTATAGCCTCAGATGCAATGCCAGGAAGGGAAGAAGCATCAGGGAAGAGATCTGAGAGTTGGGTTCACCTCAGCTGGTACCAGTTTGTTGCTTCCCTGATTCCTTTCCTGTCAGCTCTTTCTGGCACAAGACCTCCATCATCTCTTGTGCTCTAGAGGTAGAATTAAGACTTTCTGGTCCCCTCCAGCCTCTGTGCTCCTGTCTATGCTAACACCAGTATAGCACGTACACCTTGGGCTGCTCCAGTATGTACAGGTAAGCAAATCCTTGTCTGCCCTGTGCATGGCTTCCTTACTGCATGTTGTGAACGGCTCTCCTGCACTGCAGAAGCTGTCTGGCTGCTCAGCAACTAAGACTAAAGGATTCAGGCTTCCAGCCTCTAGGTTTAGAGTGGGTAAGAATATTTTGGGTAAGGGCTAATCTGTTGGGAACCCTGTCTTTGCTCAGCTCTGTTCCTTTGGGGTTTTTGCCTGAGGTCTGACCTATGTGCCTTTCACTTGCAGCCTCAAGACAAGGCATTGCACTCAGTGCAGCGGGTGGCTTGGTACTCACTGTCTTTCCCTCTTCCAAGCTATTTCACTGGCTAATTTAACTGGCATCCAGAATTAGAAGCATCAAAGGGGGAAGGTGATCTAGCTGAGTGCGGCAGGGAGCTGTTCTGCATGGGCTAGCCCAGGCCTGAAGAGGTGCTGGGTTTGGCAGCCAAGGTTGGTCTGGGTTGGGAGCAGCAAGGGCGGTGTGTGAGTCACATGCCTCACATGGCAAAACCAGTACAGAAACCCTGGTCACCCCCAGCACAAAACCACAGCCCACCCAGGGCTTCCCAGCATCCATGTGAGCAACTTCCCATCCCACTCCCCACTCTCTGTCATGCCAGGCAGCAGCAGAATTAAAGCAACAGAATTCAACTCCCATGCTTCTTGGGGATGCTGCCTTTGCTTTTGGCCTGGGCAAGAGAGGACTTGTGTTAATGGCTTGCTTTCTGTAAATGCCTGCTCTGAACTACTGTAGGGCACAGTCCTCACCCTGGCTGCAGCTGCCTGGCACCCTGTTCGTACAGAAGGGCTGATACCAGCTGGAGTGGGAGAAGCTGCCCAAGGGGAGAGTGCCCTGCCTTTAGCTGGGTGTGCTGTTTGCACCAGCATCTGTCCCTGTGCTGGAGGATTGCTGAAAATGCTGAACCTGGTGTTACATGGTGGGACTGGACCAGAGACTCACAGAAAACCTCCCACTCTTGAGTTGTTTCTAATGTGAAGTCTGGGGTTTGTTCCTAAAGTTGGCATCTTGTGCACAACTGGCCACAGGACAGGGGTACTTTGTCCTTCTAAAAGATGACATGGGGACCCTTGCTTGGTAGTATTACCACTGCACTAGGAACCTGGTGCTCTTCATCTGCAGTGGAACTTATCCCATTCTTCCCCAGGCCCTTGGTGAAGGATGGGATAGATCTAAATGGAGGCCTTCAGAGAAGTAACACTCCGGTGCTCTCTCAAAGACTGGATGGCTCTAACCACTGAGAGACTCCTCTCATTTCTGGCTGGGAGCCAAATGCCATAGTCAAGTACTGGGAGCTGAGGTCAAGGAAGCAGAGGAGCTCCAGGGAGCACCAGGGCCAAGTTGTCTTCACAGGGTCAGCAATAGCTGCAGTACCAAGAAACTGGCACATCTTGGTTGGAGGTGTGCTAGAACAGCACTGGCCAAACTACTTCCAAGAGTTTGTTAAGGAGCAGAAAGCTGAAGTAGGAGCACCTCTCCTTTTCAGAGAGGTTTCTGCACTCAGGGTAAGGTTTTCAAGCTTGTCAAACAGTCCTGGTAAGTGACAGACCACCACAGGCTCTGGGTAGCTTTTTGCTGTAATTAGGTCACAAGAAATCCAGACTTGGGTCATTGTTCAAGTCCATGCTAAAAATTGGAGGTAGGTTAGGAGCAAAAGGAGGTGCTAAAAGCTTGACCCCACAGCTCTTCTTCAAAAAAATGTATTAATTGTGTATTAATACATCTTTGTTCCAGGAGGAAAATCATGACAGCTCATACATCAGCTGTAATCTGGTCTATCTTGCTGGTGGCAAAAACCAGATTGTATCACTCTCAGGTGTTGTTACTCTTGACTTGGCTTTTTCTTGGTACTTATGATTTGTGGACAGTACATCATGTTGCTGGCCTCTGACAGGCAGGAGGTCAGTACATGAGTTCATGATGTGTTCTCTGCTAGCTGAACTTCTTGAGTCTGAAAGTAATACCAGGATTACAGTCTCACTGGAGTGAATGTAGATTTGGAGAAGAAATTGAGGGGTTTGGAGTTGATTTTCCCCATGGTTATTCAAGGCACATTTGTTAAGTACCTGGACTGGAAGATGGAGTTTTTAGACACTGCAGTTGTTTCCCTTATGATAAGGAGTTTTCTGTGTACCTCAGTTGTGCTTCAGAGGCACGAGCTCAGGTGAGCAGAATGTACAGTTATTTTGATTATTCCTATTGCATAGCTGAAGCTGGAAAAGGGTCCACAGAGGTAAGCTTTTTGCTATATTTCAGTATATCAGCTCATCTCTGGCTGTTGTGATCTCTTCAGCTGGCCATGGCAAAGCTGAACTAAACTTGTGCTGTGTTGTGGTTCTCCAGCCAGTGTGAAAACCAGCTCTGAGAAGGCTTCAGTCAGCATCCTACTGATTATGTTGGGACTGCATATCCTGTGATGGAGGAGTGCCACCTTTGAACCCATAATTAAATGACAGAATAGCTGATGAGGTCTGTTCTAGTCTGGTCAGGTCCAGATGTCTCAGGACAGACATCCAATACATGTTCTCTCGCACCATTCAAGTGCCCCACACCTTGTTACAGAGGGGTTGGGGCTCTAGAGACACCACAGCTAAATCAACTGCCAGAATTGCTTACAAATCCTTAAAGATGCTGATCAAGTGCTGGAACAGATCTCTTGCCTTTTAGTCTGTGAGGGCTTCCACAGGAGCATTCTCCTAAGCCAGCAGAGAGGGCGACTCCAAAGCAGGTGAGAGCATGGTGCTTGCTGAGGGCTTTGGCAAAGACCTGGGTTGTGCAGGAGCTGACAGCAATGACTCAGTGGTGGAGTGAGAACTGAGATGTGAGGGTGGTGATGGGGGGAGCTGGATGGAAGGCTGAGTTTTACAGAGCAGGCTTGGCTAAATGCTGGCCTCATACTCCTCACATGTAGTGTGGTTGGGTAGAGGAGCAGACCAGATTCTGGACTACAGCCACTGTTGCAAACCGTTCCAACCTAAGCAGTTACTTCTGTATCACTTCTTGCCTTCACCACAAAGGTAAGCAAAGCCACTCAGCTTCACCAAGCCTGAGGTTATCTAAGTCTGTAGGCTTAGATGTTCCAGGAGCAGGGCTCTGACGTGAGGCCAGGCTTACTGGCCTCCAGGGCACCAGAGTGGCCCAGGCTCTTAATGGGATAGTTGGAAGAAGGGCTTGTGATACTGCATTCCATTTAGCCACAGGTACCTTTAAGGGAGCTCATACCAGTTTTGGACAAAATTGGAAGTTTCTTAGTTTACTTTTCTCTGTGTCTTAGGAGGAACCTGTTTTACTGTATGGAAGAATAATAGCCAGGTGTTAGTGACTCAGATCCCTTGGACTCATGTCTTTGTGTGCATCTTCTAAGCCTTCTCCATCCACATCTTTGGGCTCTTTTGTAACTGCTGCCAGTGAGTAAGGATGCTCATGGGATGGGCTCACCTGCTGCATCTCCTAGTGAGATGTTTCAGCTGTGGTTTGGTTGTCTCCTGCACTGTCCTGGTACCCATATCCTTCTAGGTGAAGAGGATGCTGGTGTGTGCCCTGTGGGCCTCCTCAGCTGCTGAGGTGGTAGGATTTGGGGGATGGTTTGGGAAGTGGTTCAGATCTGCCTCTTTAAATTGCCAGGCTGTCATTTTCTCCATATGCTGCTTTATATTTGGGGATGTGCTGTAGGAAGGAGGTGACATTGCTCAGAGGTTGGTACAACAGCCACAATCTTGGCCACCAGCAACCGGTGGAAAGGGGAAGAGGCACATGGGACTGGCCCCACGTGCAACTCCTTTGCTTTTGCTATGGGTTGTGTACAGGGTCTGTAGCATAGGAGAGCCAAGGTACCAGCCCTAGCAAGGGTTGCTGGGATTGGGGATGCCCTTGCTCTGCTCCCAGCTCCCCTCCACCACTGCCAGGGCCCCTCTGCAGCACACGAGGAGCATGAGAGCAGCACCACCATGGCAGTAGGACACAGCAGCAGGTGAGCAGCACAGCAAGCCCAAGAGGAGGAACGCCCCCAGGCCCAGCCAAACTCTAACTGCCTCTGCCAAACTGGCTGGGGCACAAAGCTGCCAGACACAGCACACCCATCTCTCTCCCCCTGCTATATCCTGGGAGCAGAGCCGAAACCAGCACAAAGCCTTGCTCCCTCCCTCAGTTTGGCTCTGCTCCAGGCTCCACTTAGCATCAATTATTCAGTGCCGACTGGCTGAAGCCTTGCGGTGGCACGCAGGGGTTGATGAGCTTTCTGTGTTGTGGGAGGTGGGCTGGGATGGTGACGAGCACAGCCAGGGCTTGGCAGAGCCAGTGAGGACAGATGTGGTCTGCTGTCTGTCCCACCTCCTGGTGCTGCTGGTTTGGCTGTTCCTGAGCCAGGAAGGACAGGAGCCACAGGGGGCTGCCAGGACACCAGAGCTGAGCACAGCTTGGGGAGTTTGCAGTTCTGCTTGGGGACCAGCCCTGGGAGCTGTAGAGCAGCTGTGACGACAGCAGTGGCTCCACCAGGAAAAGGGGGATAGATAATACCAGCAAATACCAAGTGCGGAGGAAGAGGCAGTAAGAGGACCAGTCCCTGGCTGATAGGACCACTAGAATTTAAGCAGCAGCTTCAACACCATCTATGGCATTCATTTGCTGCTGGTCCCAGAGCTGTCCAGCAAGTGGGTAGCCATAATCATAGGCTTAGAGATTATCCTGCTCTTTGTCTCCTGCAAGCAGCCCTCAGGCCCTGGGGGGCACAGGAGGGGACAAGGGGTACTGCTGGAATGACACAGGGGCTGTTTACCCTCCCATCCCTTCAGGGACACAAGCACCTCCTGTGCTAATGCCTGCCTCCCTGCTGCAGGGAGCATGCCACGACCTGGTGCTCCTGGCAGCAGCTGGAGGCCAGGCTGGACACCAGGCATGCCTTATGTTTCCCCTGAGGTCTTACACTGCTCTGGTAAGGCAGGGAAGGGCTTAGGATTACCTGTGGGCATCTCCCCCTGGGAAGGACTCTCTGCAGTGGGTGCTTGGCACCCCAAAACCATACCTGAGAGCCCCATCAAGCACCAATTCAAGGCTGGGTACCTCTGTGGCTCCTGCATCAGCTGGATGGATGCTGTCAGAGGAGGTGGTGGAGCCATGCCTGTCCCTGGTCCCTGCAGGACACGGTGAGAGTACCACAGCCACGAGGCCATAACCAGGCATGTACATGGAGTCTGGGAATCAAAGACACCAATAAACAGTATCACACTCCATTTTTTTTCAACAACCAAATGAACCAAGGCTGTTTAATGGAGGAACACAACCCTTAAACCTAGCACAACTCACCTTCCCTTGGGGAAGCTGCCCTTCTGGACACTTCTGCTCTCTCCTTGGCAGGGATGCTGTTTTAGCAGTTGGATAAATGCCCTATCTAAACCCTGCACTGCCTGTCAAGGTAAGTAACCATGGCAGATGTTCAAACCTGGTCCCACCTGGCACTGCCTGAGAGCCAACAGGTTCATGGGAGCTGGTGGCTAGGAGGTGACACAAAACAGCTTTGCAATGAGGCTGCTTGTGAGCACCTGGAACACAGGAGTGATGAGGTTTGCTCCATTCCAGCCTGGGGATCTCACCCTTGCTAAGAGTGCTGCATTGCTGTGCTGGCATCCAGTGTGAAATGGCACAGGAGATGTGCCAAAAGCTGCATCCTCAGGGTGCTTCTGTACCAGTAAACACTGCGGTGTTCAGTGGTGCTGGAGCTTTCTTTTTTGTTTTTCTGTGGTGTTTCAGACCAGGTTTTAACCAGTTAATATAAATGAGCTAATTTAAGGGCACTGGAGAGCAATTTTTGTTCCTGTTTGACCTCTTAGGTGAGACAGAGGGCAGCGATAGAAGCAGGAAGACCAGCCTATAGCACTCAGTGGGTCACAGACACATGGGGATTCCAATTTCAGGCACTGCTCTTAAATCTTAGGGTGCCATTTAGCTAATTCTGGCCCCTCTGTCTGCTGTAAGCCTTTGGGCCCTCTGTGCTACCCTGGCAGAGACCGATGCCCTGTGTTAACCATAAACATGCTGCTTAACACCAAGTGGCAGTTTTCTCTCATGGGAGCCAGAACACTGCTCATATTGAAGACCTCAAAGGAAATAGCACCATGGTCATCTAAGCCCAGGAAGCCTTGGCCATGAAATCTGGGGTGTGTCAGAGGTACTGCTCACAGCTTTTTAAAATGCATCTTCAGCTGTCAGCAGCACCACCTTAGGCTCCCAGTGACTGCTGTAAACGTGACTCAGCCCTGACTCATGAGTGTGAGTCGCACCCACCCACCCACCTGCTGTGCAAGGAGCTGCATCCACCCGCTCCCTGTCCAGTCCAACCCTCCCTACACTGCCTACAGGCAGGAAAACAAACTCCAAACACAAAATCTTGGCCAAAAAACAAGCTTCAGCAGTGCTGCTGTTCAGCAGCCATGTGTCAGAAGGGACGCTGTCCTTTGCTCAGCTAGGAGAGGATGGTGGTAAGTAGAAAGGAACATTTTTCTTTCCACTGCTGCTGGGGATGCCTGGATTTAATTACTGTAGAAAATTAGGGAGGAAAGCAAAGATGGAGCAGGATGTACCTGTTGTAGCTGAAGCATACCCAGTAGACCAAGCTAAAAGTCATCAGGAGAAGGCAACCAGTCTTGGTGCAGCTTCTGTTCCTGTAAGAAACCTCACAGAGTCTGAATTTCTGCTAAACTTCTTTAACCATTATTATTACAACCACGTAAAACACAGCATCAAACTCTCTGGACAGTTTGGATCAGTGTAAAAAGGAATGACTGGCTTTTTTTCCCCCAAAAACCCCTTCCTTTTAAAAAAACAAACTGAACAAAAAAAAAAGCAGACATAAAAATGTTTTTTTCTTAAAAGTAATAATTACAATACATTAGAAAGTGTCATGGAAGAAGCGTTCCATGCTGTAAACAAGAATAGCAAATAAAAAGGAAAGCAGATGGTAGCCAGGCTCTCAAAGTGCATGGCCAAGAAACCTCTGGCCCCTGCTGGAGCTGGGTCCTGTGGCTCCTGCTGCCTGCCAGTGCTGCAGCCACTCAAAGTGCTCTATCACAAACAAACAACACAAAGAAAAACTAAACCTAAAAGACCCAAACCCACAGCATTGGTCTTTACCTTTACATGGAAGGCAGCAAGGCCAGCGTTGTCTCAGGGCTGCAAGAGCAAGGATGGGGGGAGCTGCTTTCCCACCTTTGCTCATAGTAAGAGCAGTTTTTGCTGAGGGGTTGAGACTGTTGCAGGGGGCTGGGCAGGGCTGCAGGTGGCTTGCATTAGGTAATTTGTCTTGCTGAGCTGCCACCCTCATTCTTCTCTTTCCCTTCCTATTCCCAAAATTCGGCAAAAGAGCTGAGGCTGAGCCAGGTCTTGCTGCCACAGACCCACCATGGCTGCAGCTTTGTCTGCAGCAAGAGGCAGAGGAGGAGACGGGAGTGGGCATCTCCTTAGGGATCATGTATTGATGTATTCAAGTGAGAGCATCACACCAAGGACAGCAATGCACATGGCTGGTGGTTCCACAGGCCTGAAGATGACTGAGGACCTTGCTGCTCATTCCCACTAGAGCTTGGAGGGAAGGACAACCCCCACCCTTTGTCCTGTCACAATTCAGGTTGAATATCATGAACCAAATGCCATGCAATGAATACAGTGCATTTGACAGCTCTCCAAAATTAAAACAAACCACCTTTCTAAATGTTAATACTGCAAAACATCCCAGACACACACCACGTGAGGAGTCCAGGTGCACAAGCAACGTGATGTGCAAAGGCTTTGTGCCTAAAATGAGGAAAAAGGGGTTAAAACAAGGGGAAAGAAGTCTCAGCTCTTGCATGCGTGATGCTCAAGATGCATTAGAAGGAATCTTATGTGGGCTTCAAGGAGAGGACAGAGCGCCCAAGCTACAGAAGCCAAGCCAAGATGTGACCAACAGCTCTCAGATGCTTCTTGTTGCTTCCCAGTGAGCTCCTGTGGCCAGTGGGCTGCTAGCAAAAGGCAATGGATATCTGTCCTGAAATACTGCTCAGGCATTTTAGCACACAAATACGTTTAACTATGCACAGTTACTGAAAACATACTCTAAATGAAAAACAATTCAAGCACCATTGTCCTAGAAAGGACCTGTGGTGTCTCAAAACACAAATACTGAACATTCAAAGAGCACTTTTCCTCAAACAGCAATGTTTGACTCCTCACAACACCCTGCGAGGTAGCTAATAGGGGTATCCCTGCTCTGCAGAGGGAGAGGATGGGCAAGGTTGGAGGCTCAGTGGAAGATGGGGCCTGGGACAGAGCTGGGGTTCCAATGAAAGCTGAGGGTGCTGTGGTCTGGCTGGCTACATCCAAACAAAGATCCAGTGCTCCCTTTGACACTCCCTGCTGCAAACATAAACCACCACACGTACACAAGGCAAAATAAACCCCTATAAATCATAGAACCATAGAATATGCTGAGTTGGAAGGGATCCACCAGGATCATAAAATCCAGCTCCTGGAACCCACAAAGTAATTTAATGGAAGTTTTCTGCTGGGCTTTCAGGTAGGCTTTAGATCAGGTTATGCAATTGAAGCAGCCTATGAGATAAAAAAATAGTATTCAGAGTCTCCTTAGAACTTAAAGGAGCTTTTGCCCAGGATCTCTGTTGAAGGAATGAAAATCACACTTGCAGTCCCACCTAAGGTAGCACTTGCAGATACCCCTTCTGGGCAGCAAAGTCAAATCCAGCATATCTGGACTACCTCCTGCTTTTTCAATGATCTGCCTTCCTGATGAAGTCCCTTCACCTCTAGGGATGAAGTACATGCTGGAACCAGAATTTTGGACCAGCTCTTTCTATGTGTCTCCCCAGACCCCTGCACACCTCCAGCCAATGGCCTGGGCTGTGCAGCAGCAGCACCCTGGGATGGGGAGGAGATGGACCTCTAGGACTTGGTGTGTGAAGGTCAAGGGGGCATGTGGGCACCCATCATGCCCAAGTTTCCTTACTCAAGGAAGCCCCTGTGTGGGCTCAATCAGAAGGGCTAAGATCAGGCTGTGGGCAATGTGCTCCCTCTTCCTCAATTCCTAGGTCCCTTCCACTCTGACACTTAACTTATTCAAAGCAAAAGTGGACTTATCTGGGGCACTATGATTAGATGCCCTCACACCTCCAGCAGCTTGGTAGCGCAGGCAGGTTTCCCAAGCCAGCAGCCCCTTTTCCTGTTTGGGGACAGAAAGGCAGCGAGCCCGCTCGCCGCACTGGCCCTGCGAAGGAAAGGCCAGCAGAAAGGGCACTCAGCCCGAGACCAGGATCCACCTTCATCACTTGTCCTTGTCACCTTGAGAACTTGGGAAAGAACCACTGCTGGCAGCCCCCAGGGTGACACCAAGGAGATGTCCCAGGGACTCAGCAGCTGTTAAATCTGTCCTCCTGAACACCATCTACCACAGCAGCAGGAGCCAGATACAGCTGGGCACTGTTCTGTGGAATTGCATAGAGGGGGCAGCGGGCTGCCTGTGTCCTGCCAGGATGCCATAGCACTGCCTGGAAATTCTGCTGCCTACAACTGCAGGTCTGGGAAATGAAATAAAGATCTATTGCTACAAAGGCCTTTGAAAGCAATGCTGTGGCTGCGCCGATAGGGCATTTGAAAGAAAGCATCTCGGACTCCAACACCTTATGCCTGCTTGCTTGGTCATGGGTTTCCACAGCAGACAGGAGCAGGAGAAAACAAGCAACAAACTCACCAGCCCTGCCTCTTCCCCCAAGTGATGAAGCTTGGGGAGCTTTGAGGAACAAAAAATGAAAGCATTTTCCAATTTGTCCATAGGAAACATGCAAATCCAATCTGCTGGTGACTCCTAGCGCTGGTGGCCACCGCTTTGTCTCCTCACTGGGTGCTCGTACCAAAGCACAGCTTGACGTGCGATGGTGCTGTGCTGTCACCCCAACAGCCCTGCTGACAGAAGGGGATCCTGTAGATGGGGCAAGGGTACTTTTCCAGAAGCCACTTCTTCTCCCTTAACTTCCCCTTCCCCATCCCGACTAGAATGTCACTGATTTGGGCAGCTTTGCCAGGGATGAAGAGCCTGAAAGGAAACTGTTCTCTGAGTGGGATTTGGCAACCTGTGGCAGTAATTTTGGTTTGGGGCTCAACGGGGGTCTTGGGGCTTTCAGTGCATTTAATGGTTTCTGGAGGCTTTTCTGGACCTCTGCCTCCTCTGGGTCTGGCGTAAGAGGTGGCAGCATGGAGGTGGTAGGCAGGGGATGTCCAGTCTCTGTCAGAGGCAATGCCACCTGCTTTCTGTTCAAGAAGTCCTGCTCTGTCGCATGGGCCAGGTGGAGGGGAGTGGTGGTTTTGACAACGACGTAGGGGCTGTTCCCTTCCACCACAGGGGACGGTGCCCGATGGGCGGGGCAGCCCTCGGCCGGCCCTGCTGCCTCCGGCTCTCTGCTGGACAAGATGGGCACACTGCCCCCTGCCCGCCTCTGCGCAGGCAGCACGGCCTCGGGCCAGCGCGTGGTGCCGGTGGCACTGCCCAGCCCGTTGTGCTGCAGGCTGAGGAGCTCTCCCGTGGATGCAGCTTTGGATGCCGAGCACTTCAGGCCCGTTTTGTCCGGCAGCACCGCCCTGCAGTGCCTGTCATCCGCAGCCTCCTCCCCGCGCTCGCTCTCAGGGGAGCCATCGCTCTGTGATGTGCAGGAGAGCCGCCGGCAGCCGGCTGGCAGAGGATGGGGGGCTGCTTGGAGCACTGCGTCTCTGCCCAGGGAAGATGCCTGTTCTTCTGCTGGCAGGACAGTGGGATTTGGCTCCCACACTGCCTGGTCCATAGCGGAAAGCTCAGCGGTGCTGGAGTCAGGAGGACCCGGCCTGTTTTGGAGAGAGGAATCTAAGGAGCTATACTCATCTGGGGCATGGAGGGAGACTCCATGGTCCACCACGACACAGCCAGGAGCAAGAAGAGGCTGCTCTGGAGGCAGGACCGTGGGCAGGAGGTGTTGCTGGGCCTGCATCTCGCTTGCCTTCAGAAGAGATGATGGCTGCCCATCCACGACGCGCTCCACCTGACCCTCCTCATCCAGTGGCCGCCCACCCAAAACAGGCACGTTCGTTGCTTCAACTGCTTCACTACCCTGGAAGGCTGGAATCCTCGCTTCCACCACTGTCACTCCTCCTGGTGTGCCAGGAACTCTGTGGGGATGGGGCTCCCTGTCTGGAGTGTGCTCACCCACCCGGCCATTCTGGCCATTTGCTGCTGCGTTTTCCTTTATGGCTACTGGGTTGAGGGAGAGCTCCAGGCCCAGGGGTTTCCTTGGAAACTCCTCAGGCTTTGCTGCATTGGAAGCAGAGAAAACAAAGTAAAACCCAAACTGTGCATCAGTTTGTTTTTGCATGCCCTGAATGTGAGGAAGACAGATGCTTCCACACAACAGGTGCCAGCTCCTCTAGGCTGCCCAGGCTCCCAGCTGCACCAGCAGGATGCTCTGGTCCCTGCTGGGCTGCCCACCTTCCCCTCTACCCACCTGGTGGGGGCAGGTCAAATTTCATCTTGCGCAGTTCAGTCATTGACACCTGCAGCTGCTCAATGACAGCATCATCCTCGTACTGCAGGGAAGCAGCAATTTTCTCCTGCAGAAATTCACGTAAATCTTCCAGTGTCATCTTCAGCAAACGCTCTGGGGGATGGGAGAAAGGAATAATGGCAGTGGCACAGACAAATTTCGGGGTAGCACAAGCAGGGGTTACACCATACTGGGATGTATCTGGGATTCTGTTGCTGTTCCCAACAAGTGAGACAGCCTGAACGCTTTTGCCTCTCTCCCACCTTCTCACTATTGCTCAGGGTCATCAATACATGTATGCCACCTGAGCAGTAGCTTCTCAACGGCAGGACAATGGCAGGGCTGGGAGCTGTGCTGAGGAGGATGCAGGTTTTGGGCCACTTCTGGAAGTTCTCACCAATGCCTCTAGGAGGAGGAAAAGCTCCATGTGACAGGCCCTGAGCGTCAGGCTGAACAGCCATTGCCGAGAGCTGCTGCCACCACCAGCCAGGGATGCCAACTTGCACCAGCCAGCAGGCAGGGATGCAGGAAGAGGTGCTGGCCCTTAAAAGATTGCAGACAGGGGTGGATACAAGCAGGAATGGGTTGTAGGAAGAGATGCCAACCCACACTACACCTTCCTCAGGGAAGCGAGATTTCACAGCCAAACTGAAACATCTGCCTGCCAGTTTCTCACTTTTTGCAGACAAATAGGATACTTCAAGATTATTTTTGGATAGTCTGTTCTTCATTTAACTGAAGGAAAAACAGGGTGGCTGTTTTCAGAGGCAGCCCCCTAAATTCTGCTGGTCCGAATGTTCTCATCATGCACTCCTGCCCCAGATGAAGGCCAAAAGAGTGACACAGCAAGGCTATCAACTTATAGGAGTGAAGGGGTTCAAAGTTACAAAGAACTCAAGGTAGAAACATCACTGCCTTAATGTTATGCAAGAAAACCAGGTTTTGATAATTTTAGAATTGTATTAATGGATTTACTTGTCTCTCTACAGACTTTTCAGTTGAGCCACCACGAAGTTCTGCTGACAGATGGGCTGCTGTCTGTATTACCCCTAAAAGCAATTTGTGAGGCATAGTACTTAGGAAGACACAGCTGGGAGCACTTCAGGTGTGGTTTCTGTGTGTAGAGCACAGCAAGTTAACCCTTGTGGCATGTCATTTCCTCTCCTGGACTGTGACTTTTGCAGCCAGTGCAGGGCACCAAGAGGCTGGAAGTGGCCAGCAAGGCTTTTCAGGTCAGCAGCACAAGGGTGGCCCAGCACAGTGCCACCACAGCCATAGGGGATGCAGTCAGGTAGGATCTTACTTTTGTGCAGTTTGAGGATGGTGTAAGCCATGGCTGTCAGCACCCGCTCCCCTTCCAGGATGTAGATATCCCACAGCCGCAAGGTCAGAGTGAATGGAGTCTGTTTTAAACACACAAATACAAACATCAAGTGGGATGATGAAACAGAGGCTGCTGCCATCACTGCATCACCTTGCACCAAAACACACAACAGGGCTAGGCTTTGCAAGTCAGGAATTCATTTAAGACACAAAAACATCTTTTACCATCTACAATTTTGCCTTAAAGCTAATGAACTTGGGTGGCTGGGGAAATACTTAAAACCCATCCATGAACACAGAAAAAAGATAAACTTCCCTCCCAAGCATACTAGCATGTGGATTCCTCTACCCTAGAGGGAATACCATTCTCTTTCAGCCTTGTGAGCACAAAAAACAACTCCTGTATCCATCCAGATTTCCCAGAAGGGCTATTTATGGGATAGGTCTGAAAGCCCAATGATGCATCAGTAAGCATTCAAAAAATCATTCATCTGGTGTCCAAAGAAGAGGTCTTTCTTACATACAGGCTTATTTCTGCCTGCTGAAAACACCTCTGCAAGAGGTTTTCATTTGCATCCAGATGCAATCTGACAAACAGGATTGAACTGATACCCAAAGTGATGGAGCAGCCCATACCTCACAGCAAAGATCTAAGGCACCTCACCAACACAGAAATTAATACTAATCCTGATGAGATGTTTAGGTTTAAATTTAGAATACTAAATTCAGTGACTCTCCACAGTTTGGCACAACTGGACCATTGCAGCTCTTAAGACATGCTACAGCAGTTAAAGGGATTTTGCATTTTATACAGCTTTTAGTGGCAAAAGCAGTGAGCTCCCTCTTGAGGGGAAGGGGCTGTCCACTGTTTTATAGAAGACAAGACAGTAGAAAATTGAAACTGGAGCACACAGATGTCTTAAATATTAGCAAGTCTGGACATTGCATTCAAGTCCAGTAAGCACAACGCTGACCCTAAAAACAAAGTAGTCTTGGCTCTGGACTAGCAAATTAGCTCTGGACAAATCAGGGTAATTTTCTCACGCTTTCACATGTTTCTAGTCCCAATCCGCTCCTTTGCCTGCAGCTGCTGCACTGCTATTTGTTGAGGTTTATGCCCCCAGCTCTTCTTCTTTCTATGTTGTTCCCAGAGCCAAAGTGAGGTTAATTGCCTTTGCAACAGTGCCAATGGGCAAGAGAAAGATCTTTCCCAACTCTGAAGTTTATACTGCTCATGCTGAGCCATCTCCGCAGGACTGCTTGTGATGAAGCAGCAGGATTTGGCTTGTCATCATTGACATGCAGTTATTTTTAGCTTCTCCCTTATTAATTTTTTTGCCTTATGAGAGTGTGCATAATATCCCACCTTATAAAATATTAACATCTTCTTCAAAGTATGATATTTACAAAAAAATCACAGGCAGATTAACCATGCATGCAAACAGCAGAGCAGCAAAAAACCCCCAGAGCATCCTCACCCGGTCAATGAAACACTGCAGGAACCACTTGGTTGTGTAAATCCCAGTAGTCATCTGCTCCTTGTCCTGGGAGAAGACAGCAAATAGAGACAGGCATTTCACCAGGCTAGTAACTGGCTTTGTGGGAGGCTGGTTGGTTTACTTATTCTGGGGTCTGGATGCAGGATGTGGCTGTGGTTCATCTTCCATCTCCCAACAAAGCCCCTGCTCTAAGCACCAGTGTTGAAGCCCTGCTCTGGTCCTTTGCCCAAGGCATCCACTGAACCTGATCCTCAATGTAGCCAGACTTCAGCCACAGCATTGGAGAGGAATTTCTGGGAGAAGCTTTTCTGGCCTAATACCTACTCCAGGGATTTATAGGGATATATAAAACTCCCAGGAACCCAAACCACTCACTCCTTGCAGACTACCATTTTTGTATCCAGAGCAATACCCATGCAAGCCTCTCAGTGCACAGTCAAGCTAACTTTGGAAGTACCACCTTGTTTACATGGCATGGCTGCTGCAGGAGCAGGACAGCCTGACAGGCTGAAACCTCCCCATCACCACCTTGGTCTAACACTTCTCCATCTGGTGCCCAGTGCTGGGATGTGTGCAGAGCTGACATGACCTCTGCTGCAAAGCCAGCAAAGCAATGGGGATGGGAAAAGTAAGAAGCCCATGAGATCAACAGCCAGCTCCAGCCTTTGCTTTTAGCTGGTGCTGTGTACCTGCAAGCCTGGAGAAGGAGGAATGAGCAGCTTTCTGAGTTATTCCCATCCCCTCCCCTGCCCATGACTATAAGTGAAAACCTAATATGGCTCTGTTTCACTTTTACAGCCATTTGCAGCATAAAGCAAGAGCTGTTGCACATGATGGTAATACAAACACCTTTTGCTGGAGATGGGGCCACCAAACCTCTTGGGAGTATAAGAAAACTTTAGGAGTCTGCCACTGAACACCAACTGTCTACACCAAATGCAAAGAGGGATGAGGGAAAAAAAAAAGTGAGAGAGCAGGTGCTGCAAAACAGTGGCCTGGACATTAGACTGGAGTCAGTGTGCCCTGCAGATGCTCCTGCAGCCACCAAGTGGGCCTGTACCATTTGTTAGACAGAAAAGCAACTGGACATGCCCAAGCAACAAAACACCCAGCAAATCTTATGTGTCTCCTCACATAAAGCAACAGCAAAGCACTTGGAGCTAATAATTACTGAAATAAGACTCCAGAAAGACCAGCATCAGCCTTTGGGCCTTGCAGCTGGTTTAAGAACACAACCCAGCCTCACTGCTGCTCCTCCTGTTTCAGGCTCTGTAAGCCTTCCTGCCTGGCTCTCCTAGGGAAGCCTTTAAATTTTAGCAGTCCCTCCACTAATGATGACCAGCAAGCAAATGATTGCCATTACCTCAGCAAGATTTGGGCAACCCATTTAACAAATGCCTGCCTCTGCAGCTGAAGCAGTCCTATATGGTTAGAAATACGTTCAGCTGTGCATTTGTGTGGCAGAACACTGTATGAACTGCTTAACCATTAAAATGTGCATTATTATAGGAAGACTGATAGTAAAGAGATACCATGTGCTTCTTCAGTTTGGGGAACAGTTTGTTTAAAATTTGCTCATGATGGGCTTGAAACCTCTGCAGCTTCGGGAACCCAGGAATGAAAAAACCTTAAGAGAAGACAAGAGAAATAAAAAAAATCAGGAAAGCTCTGCAGCAGTGACACGGATAGCCTAATTTTCTACAAACTCATCTCTTGCATCACCTGTTGAAGTTGGCTGAACCACAGGGCGCCCAGCTACCTCCTTTCCACCTTCCTTTCCAGAGGTCACTCCTCATCCCATCTGAGCAACAGGACCCTCAGAAGAAGCCCGGCTGGTCCCTCTCACCCAGCCCCATGGAGCAGGCCCACACAGCTCCCACTGCCTGCCTGCCTTCAACTTGGCTTGGCCAAGAGCTCTCCAAACACACCTCAGAGTGCTTACCAAGGTTCAGAGAAATGCTGAAGATGTTTGAACACCACAAGTTTGTGCCCTGTAATCTAGTGGAACACACATTTAAGACTGTCCAAAGTTATCAAGCCATAAGGTTTAGTTCTCTGCCCATGAAATAACCCTCTGTGCATAGATTACTGCTAACCACAAGTAAGATGAAAGGATCTTTAATGTGTTCGAAGTAAAACAATACATCACACATTTAGTGGAATTACATCCACATTTATTGTGGATATTCTTGGATGTACTTCTGTGAGACTTCTTATAAGCTCATAACCTTGAGCTAATTGATTGCCAAGGGCAAGGTACCCTGGAGGGAGGACAGCACTTCTGTGAAAGTGTTAATTACCGAGTGCTAAAGCTCAGGTGGATAAAACTCATTTTTTTAATAAGATCTTGTCTGCCTCCAAGAGTGAAGTTCAGCTCCCTAGTCAGGCTGCACAAGTAGTTAAGCCTGACCCACTTTAATTAAACAAATATGTGAGAAGAAGCAAGGCTCTACTGACCAACCTGAACAATCTTCCCTTCCTTTGCCAAACACCCCCCGCCCCCAGCCCAGCCTTACCATGCATGGCGTGGCGCTGGTTGGTAAGCAGCTGTGCCAGTGCCCAGAAAGCATCCTCTTCGTTCAAGTACATCAGGAGGATGGCTGCAATCTGGCTCATCCCTTGGCAGTAGCTCACTTCCTGCAATAGTCAAGAGGGGCAAACATGCTGCCATGTTGGCAGAGCCTACCACAGTGCTAAAGCTGCCTGTATTTCCCTCTCCTCTTCCAAGATCTGTCCCATTTCAAAGTGTTTACCGTTTATGTCCAAATTCACAGCTCCCATATGTCTACAGAATCTACCATGTCAATGACTCATGGATTAGTTTGGGTTGGAAAAGGACCTTTGAAGATCATTTCATCCAATCCTCCTGCCATGGGCAGGGACAGCTTCCACCAGACCAGGTTGCTCAAAGCCCCATCCAAACAGACTTGGAACACTTCCAGGATAAGGCATCCACAACTTCTCTGAGCAATTATTTCCATGCCTCACCACACTCACTGTAAAAAATGTCTTCCTTATGTCCAATCTATCTTTGGAATGACAAACAGCATGTGGCTCCAATGCTGTTTCGGATTCCTTCAGCCATATGAGCACAGAAGTAATTAATAAACAGTAAATAAATCTGGTAAGCATTTATCTGGCATGAGGGAGGCTCCTTAACTAACCCCCTGAGCATCTTCTGGGATAACTGTTCCCTTCTGGAGGTGGAGACAGTAGGTTCAGCTGCTAATTTCTGCTTATTCTGCCTGTGTCCTTCAGCTAAAAATGACTGGTTTGCTGTAGTAAATAATTGTTTTCAACAAGGATGCCATTTGGTGTGAGGCAAGAAGTCAGAAACATGACAGACTGCCAGAAGCCTAGTGTTGCTGAAAAGCAGAAGGGCAATCCTTGTTCTTTGCTGACACTTGCCCAAACTAAATCTGCCAGATATCATTTACCAGGTGACAAAATTAACAAGGGAATGAAACAACTGTGGAAAGATTCTTGTGCTGCCCCAGAGCCTTGCAGCTCTCTGTACAACCCACTATTAGGACTTAAAATTGGAATTACCACTGGCTAAATAAGTTTATTACATATATATATATATACATGAAAATATATGTCTACACAAATACACACGTATATAAAGCTTTTCTTTAAATCTTTATATATATATATATATAATATATATATAAAGCACAATGCTCTTCATGTTAACTGAACTTACTACTTACAGTGTTATAAACTGAGTATGCTGACAGGACGTGGAAGAGTGCCTGTTGCCTGGGGAGAAAGCAGGATATTAAAACACCTGAGCATGAGGTCTCCAGCTTCATGAGCACATCAGTGTATAAACACAGAGAGCAAAGATTATGAAAACACCCAGCCAGCTGGTACTTAAGGCTTTTGCAAGGAGCAGGACTGACAGAACCGGAAAGCTCATTCCTTGGAAACTGTGTAGGGCAGCCAGGTGTGACTTATCCCAGTGACAAAGTCACTTTGTCAAACCCTTCCAACCCCATCCCTTCCCAGATCCTGATGGGCCCACCCCATCATTCCAGCCAACCCAAACCAAGTCTTCTGCAACTGTGACCCTTGGGGGATAAGGCACTGCAACAGGCTGTTGCTTGGCTCAAGAACTGGGGCTGAGCCTGCTCCAGTGTGGGCCTCTCTGAAGAGAGAATCAGCAGCCCAGCACCTGTGGGTCACACTGTGTGGTGATGGTTTGAGAAGAAGGCAGAGAAGACTAGCCAAGGGACTGCTGGCTACCCCATCCAGCTCATCCCTCACATATGCACTGGCACTACTGCCCATATAAGCCACAGAAGCCTTCCATACTCACTTCACACCGTAGCGATCCCGAAACATTATGTGGTTTCGGAAGGTGCGGTTAACATCCAAATCTATCTGCTTGATTTCCGATGAAAAACTCTTCGCTTGTTCTTTCATTTGCTGGAAGGGACAGGGGCAGACAAGAGGCAGGAATCAGAGACCATCTCAGCCTATACCTCTCTCCACACAGTAAGAAGGCAGGATTCCTGCAGCAGGAGGGGCAGCTTGAGAGCTGCACAGAGCTATGCAGAACAGGGGACTTAGATGTCCTACAGTGAGCAATGAACTGCAGCCTGGAGGTGAGCCCCTGACCCCTTGTCTGTGCCACTGGCCCAGGGAGAAGAGTATGACACCACACGCTAAGATAGCAGCAGCTGCTAACCCAGCCTTCACCCATCTTCCAATGCAGTTACAGAGTTTTCAGAATCTAAAACCTTTACAATTCAATTCCACTCTGATCTATTTTGATTTCTTGGCCTGGCTGGCTGTCATAAAGCATTGAAAGTTCTGTTGATCCTTAAGGAACTAATACACAGATGTACACAGCACTCTCAGCTTTTCAGAGGCTCAATCATAATAAAGTCCAAACTGTCATGACAGATTCTGTGATCTCCAACTACTACTTTCCCTGCAGAAGAGAATCATCTTTGATTTAAGGAGTTTCCACCAGAAAAGCAGTCCTGGAATATTCCCTTGGACTGGTACAAATTTTAAGAAACTGGCAGAGTCCAGAACAGAAGCTAAACTCAAAGCCAAGAATCCCCATGTTCCCCTCAGGCTGGCTAATCATTTAAGGCAGCATCATATAGAAAAAGGACTGAAGTCCCCTGCAAAAAAAATGGAAATTCAAATGGAAGTTTAAGACCACCTCAACCAATTGTGCCCTCAGAGCCCCAAGATGAAGATACTCCATGGACAAATCTCACTGCAGTCCCATTTGCACTGCAGTCCCACAGTTCAGCTCTGTACTGCAGACAGGGACCAGTATGCTATAGCTAAGCATCTCATCTCGGAGCCTTTAGATACCACCCGTCATCATGCCCTCCTCCTTTAATGTCTCCAGGGTAAATTGCATGAAGAAAATACATTTTGTGACTGTCTTCAGGCACACTGAGATTCACCAGCAGGTTGGAGGCACCAGAGATGAGCAGCAAGCCCGACTTGCCTTGAGTCCAGGGTCAGGACCCCTCCTGGCTCACAGAGGAGACAGAAAATAGAACATATGCACAGATACTTATCATCTGCTCCAGCAGCTGCCATCCTATGAATTGTAAGCCTGACACCAGGCACCTCCAGGCTGCTGCTGACCTCCCAAGGTGGCCATATCAGCTCTGGGGAACATCAGAAGGTCATCAGCACCCACATGTATCCAGCACAGCCAACACCTAGGACGATCACAGCATCTTGGGAATATTAACTCCAACCTTGAAAGCAGCTGTATGGAGGAGCATACAGTACAGGGGCTATTCTGAATTATTGCCTGCACAGGACAAGTGAGGATAAAAGTGATGATGGAAGTAAGATCCGATGAACAACATCATTTCCCTGATGTAAATACTGAGGTCTCTGTATCCTGTGGCTCCTTGCCCTCTATAAAGCAGGCAGACTACCTGAGAGAATATTCATGACTATTCATGTGCACTGGGTCACTTCAGTTCAAATTTTCCTGCTAAAGGCCCTCTTGTTTTCCCTGCCAGAACAACACAGAAATCTCCCCAAAGACTGTAAATACCCTATTTTGGGTATTTTTTCATCATTTCACATGAATAGCAGGTAGGCCACACAGCACTTTGTCACCTCCATGCACCTAGGAGGCTTTACTAATTGTGGAGATATTAAAAAGGAAACACAGGATGGGTTATTCTCCCTTTTTCCCTAGTGTAAATAACCTGGGAGCTCCACAGATGCTCTGTTGAACTCGTGAGCGCTGTGAGTCCTGCAAACTGATGGCAGAGCAAAGGCTGGAAAGCTTGAAGTCCCATTTCAAAGACCTTGTACAAAGCAGTGGGTAAAAGCCGGGATGCCTCTGCTCTGCCCCATGGCCATTGTTTCTCCTGCTGCCTTCTCAAGCTCCCCTCAGGCCCTCTGGCTGCAGCTAACAATCCCCAGGGAAGCAGAGCATCACACCTACATCACAAACAAGCGTGGTATGTCCCATGGTAGCCTTCAGGATTTTGTGCCATAGGTTATGCCCCAGGGGGAAACAGGGTGGCCTTGGAACCAGTCCCTCCAGGACACAAGTCTGAGGCTGAGGCTTAGTCCCTTCTTGAAAGCAAAACTCCTCATCCAGGATCTGCACTGAGCCTCTCCTGGAGGAAGTTAGGGGAGAGCTAATTACTAGCAGCAGGCAGCACCAAAGAAGAGGTAGATTAAGATGATCTTGTAGAGGGTTCGCATCCAGCAAAGCCTATTAGCCCTGAAGCTCCTGTTTATCACAGACCCCTTTGGAGCACAGATAAACTCCTTGTGACTTTCATTTGTTTGGAATGCTCCCCTGCCTGCGAAGCACAGCTTTGAGGGAGGGAGCACAATTTTAATCTGCATGCTGGGAGAGCTTCCCTATCTGTGCTTACTGCGGTGAGCCCAGCCCGCCTTCCCCCAGCCCCTGCATGTGCCTCCATCCCTGCAGCACCTCACCAGTAACATCCGTGCTTGACTGACTATAATGAGTGTTAGCATCATCCCGCTTAATAGGCAGGGATTTTTAGAAACACCTGTTGGAAGCAGCACTCAACCTCCTGCCTCTGAAAAATAATTGTTTCCACAACACCCTGATCTTTGCCCTGGTTCATGATGCAAGATAAATCATAACACAGGCTTGGAAAATAAGTTAATTATCCACCAAGAGCTTCCACATGCTGCCTGTGGAAAGCTTCCCCTCACTCTTCCCTGCATCTTTCTCTAAAGATGCAGTAACATTGACAGCAGCTTTGCTCCCAACTTCCAGCAGAATAAATGGATGCAGCATATTATAGAAAGCAGCCAGCTAATATGCTAAAATACCCCAGCTTAATATAAACCCAAGGACAAATAGTTGATACCCTTTGCATTTTCAGTCCTCACTGAACCAGCTTCATCAACCAATCTAACCTCCTTATCACCTTGCTCCTGCTGTCTTTGCCAGGTAGAGCCCGTACCTCATACTTTCCTTCATTCTCTTTCTTCATCTTCTCGACATCCAGCAGAAGTGACCAGACCTGGCCTCGCACCTGAAGCGGGATCCCTTTATACACACGCCGGCACATCTGCAGGGAGGAAAACACATGCAAGGTTACCTGGGTCCTGCTGGTGGCAAACACATTTTCTCCATGGTTTGCTGCTGCAGATAATCAGCCATCTAAGCAGACACCCCAGGCAATCACTTCCTCTCCTTGTGGTGGCGCAGAGAGGGCATTTCCAATCTGATGGATGAGCTGAGTATCTGCATCCATCAAAGACAGCTACTCAGTCAAAATCATAGAACCCCAGAATCATAGAACAGTTTGGTTGAAAGGGACCTTACAGATCATCTAGTGCTAACATCCTTGCCATGTGCAGGGACACCTTTCACTACATCAGACTACTCATAATTCCATCCAACCTGGCCCTGAACATTTCCAGGGATGGGGCATCCACAGTTTCTCTGGACAACCTGTGCCAGAGCCTCAGCACCCTCACAGTAAAGAATTTCTTCCTTACATGTAATCTAAACCTGCCCTCTTTTAGTTTAAAACTGTAGTCTCCGGTCCTATCACTATCTGCCTGTGTAAAAAAGTCATTCTCCCTTGTTTTTATAAGCCCTCTTTAAATACTGGAAGACCACTGAGGTCTCCTCAAAGCTTTCTCTTCTTCAGGCTGAACAACTCAACCTGTCTTCATAGGAGACAGGTCTTCGTTCACTTCATCTCACACATGCTTCTTCCCTTTTTCTTGTCACAAAGCCCCCATTAAATTTCAATGGAAAACGGGGTGGGGGAAAGCTTTTTTTTTCCATTGCTGACTGCTTCCATTAAAAGAAAAAGCTTCATAAGAAAGAAAAATATTGTTTTCTGAATACCTTCCTTCCTTTCATTCATCCCACCTGTGAAATGCCTTGCAGCTGTACTACAAAGCCCACTGCAGCACTCAGATTCCTGAGTACCCTTGGGTACACTGAAGGACCTGTGACACATGCCCTAACTCCAGCCATGAAGGGCATTTATGTTGCCTCATGGTGCTCCCTCAGAACCAGGCACTTTCTTGGGAGGGGACAGAGATTCCAGATTTCCAGTCATGAAAATGAGCTTGAAGCTGAGAAGGGCGGTGCCTGATCAGGAAGCCACTGCCTGGTACAACTGCATCCAACCACCTTCAAAATCCCTCTTCTTTTTCCATAGGGTGTTCTGCTTCATGCAATTCAGGCTGATATAAGAGAAGGACTGCAATCCCCAGGGAAGCACATGATCCTAGTAGAAGGTTTTCTGGATGTGGGCTTGCCACATTGCCATTGCCACATCCAGCTGAACACCTGCTTCTCTTACCTTTCCTTTCAGACCCACCTTGCACCACCAGCTCTTTTATTTCCAACCTGACTTTTTAAGGTCAGCCTCTCCCAAGGACATAAAGACCTTCTTAACCATGGCACTGTGCTGGCTCACTGCCTCCATGAGCACAAACTGACACTCCTCATTTCCTTACTGTCTTCATGGCAGCATTATGTCTACTGAGGGCAAAACCCAGAAATGGTGGCCCTTGTCCCAAAGAGTTACAAGACCAGGAAGTAAGACAGGAGGTGGGTTTCAAGCAGACAGGCTAGAGGACAGCAAAGAACTAACACCACTATCCTGGTCAAAAAAACGTATATAAAATAATTCCATAGTAAATGCCAAGATCACTCTGTAGGACCAGGAGAACCAGATGTTTGTGAGAATGCTTTTCCACTCCATTACAATAAATATTTCAGTATTTCTGCTGACAGAGAAAGTGTCTGTAATATATCTTGATCCTGGAAGTTTAATGGACATACAATATTTAAAATGCCATCCTTAGAACTTCCCAAATGTTTGCTGTGTCCCAAGCATTGCTTAGTACCAGCTGTGAAGGTCCAGTGCCTAGTCAGGACCAAATCCTGCAGAAATCCTAAACCAGATCCTGCCTTCCCTCTGTATGCACCAAATAAAAGCTGTCCCCTAAAAGCAACCTCACCAGCAAGACCTGTCCATGGAAAGCCACCATCCTGTTCAAAAACATCCTGCATTTCGAGTGGGATATCACTAATTCACCATCTGCACACCCAAAGGCTTACGTAATGAGGTGCTTTTAAGGACAGCAAACCTTCACAGCATGTGGGACAGATTCATCCCCACAGATGAAAGACCCATTTCCCAAGATTCATTAAATCAGGATGAAAGAAGTGCAATGCACCAAGAGACACAAAGCAGCAGGATTAGAAGAACCACATCCCCAAAGCAGTAGCTGCCCACAAAAGCCTGGCTACTGCAAGCACTCATGCCATTATGAAGCAAAAGCTGAGGTGGAATCAAGAAACTAGAATATGTGCCAATTCTGACAAAAACACTAATTCAGAAAAGATTTCATATTTTTAATGGGTTACGAGAGACTGACTGGCAGCTGCCAAGGCATACGATGACACTCAGGTCCGTGGGAAGGAAATAATTTTGTTTTGAATTTCCAGAGCTGGTATTGTTATACTTTAATGAATGCAACCCTTAGTGGCATATAGTAAATGTCTCTAATGATTTTCTTTGCACAAGTGCTAAAGGAACAGGGGAGGTACAAAACAAACTGAAATGAAATGCCTTCCTGTTATTTATCCAACGGCTTTCCTCCTCCCACCACCTCCAGACATGAAAGTGATAAAACCTCAGAGCTGTGAGTCACCCAGAAAAAAATGAGCAACTTTTCCTCATTGTGAAACTTGAAGGAAAACAGGGAAGTTACCATACAAGCGGTATTTATGATGGGATGAAAAGACAGAGGTAAGGCAGCATGTGATGATAATTCTTGTACCACATGAGATACAAAAAGAACCCTCACGGTCACTCTCTTTGGTCTCTTATGGACCGTTCAACCCTTACAGATGGGAAGAGAGCACCTAGATCATGTCCCATGCAGGCTACCAGACTTGCACAGGCAAGAAGAACAGACACCATTCTGCTTCACAAAGGGAGATGCTGGTGGTCAAAGCAATAATTCAAGACACTAGAAAGGCTGTTTCAGCCAAGGACTGAAACCACACAGTCTAAAACTTGCTCCAGGTTTTGCCATGGGATCATCTTCCCTCTCCAGGCTTTAACATACAAAGCTCATGGCACAGAGGCCATCATCACCCCATTGCTATCTCTCCCCTGCCCACAAATTTTCTTTGCAGTAGATTGGATGGGGGAGACTATGGAAGCACAGACTTGAGCTCCATCTTCCTGCACCAGCAATCTTCTCTGAGAAGTACCCAACCAATTGTTCCAGGTCTTGAATAAGAGGGATGGAGTCACTGCCTTTAAAGACAGAACATCTTTTTTCAGTAGTAAAGACAGTGAAGTAAAAAAGGATTTGGGATTGGTGGATTGGTTTTTGAAGCAGAATATACACATTGCAGTTCACCTTCACACTTTGGAGTCTGTCACTGTTAACTTTTCAGCCATGTGCATGGATCACCAGGAAGAGACTGCAGGAGCAACACCCAAATTTTGGGTATGCATGGTGATATCCCTTTCAAGCTTTTCTGTATGTCCAGCATATGTCTCCAACACACTAAAGTGGAGGCAGCCCTCCTTCCTCAATTCCTCTAGGGCTCAAAGAGTGATCTTTCTGAAGACAAAGGACTTTTTCACATCCTCTACCAGTGGAGCACCAGGGGAACTGAGCTGTGCAAATCCTCACCTGGAGTGGAGGATTTCCTTTTAGTACCACAAAGTCTGCTGACAGACGATGTGGCTGTGCATGACCTTTGGCAGAGTGGACATCAGCACGTATGGCTTTCTTTCTATACAGCTTTGATTGCTCCCAACTCAGCTGTTGTACCTGTAGCTGGAGCCTATGCAGCTATTCCTGATGGGGTGCCAGCAAAGCAAGGGCAAATTTAAATCCTAAAGCTGGTGAGCCATGGGCAGGCATTTACAGTTATTCCCCAGGCTACCTTTGGAGGAAAGGAAAATGCTACCTGCCTTTCCAAAATGGAGGGGGGGGAGGAAAGCAGGCAAAGCCACCCTGCAGCTCCCAGACACAACCCCTTTTCCTTCTCATGGCATTAGAGGCAGGACATCTGACTTCAGCCAGCTCCGGCACGACAAACGTCTGCTGGCTCTCCCTGGCATTTGTAGACTGTTCCCTCTTGGGGGTCTGTGTCAGTCCATACAGATCCCCAATTCATCCTAAACCGCTTTGCTGGCATGCACTGGATTAAGCGCCCTGCACTCGCGTGACCTTAGCAGAGACAAGGCTTCCCCCATGCACAAAGGCAGGCTTTGCCTGAAAACCAGACATCTACGAGCAAAGACATCCCTCTCTAAAGGTTCCATCCCACATAGCCAGCAGTAAGATGCAGCTTGCAAATGATGCAGAGGTCATATCCTCCTCCTATGACTGATGCTTCTGGCTGATATCCATTTCAGGGCTACAATGAATAAATTATCCTGCTGTTGCAGTGCATACAGCACAGCCTTTTTTATCTGCAAAACTGTGCTGCCTGAACTGTGTGGATTCTTACATGGCACCAGCCATTTCCTAACCTTCCCAAGCAGAGTCAGGCTAGTGTTTAAACTTGGGTTCAAATCAGCAGTGAAGAAGAGACAGACCATCAGAGCCTCCCTGTGCTGAACCCCTGAATAACACAGTTTAGCACTTCTTTGCAGGTTTGGCATACCTTAACTCTGCAAAACAATATCATCCTTTATTTTTGTACCCTTTCCCTTGTGGAAGTTCAGCCAGAAAAAGGTGCCGTTGCATCATTCTAACCCCACCCATATGAAGGATTGTGCTGGGTGTCACTTTTTGCTGATCTTGCTACTGAAATTAAATCAGATTGTTACAAAATGTGTCTAGATGAGAGATGGAGATAGATCTAAGGCAATGATGAGCACAGGGAGCCCCAGGGCATTACTTTAATTAAGATAATCCTATTTGTTGCTCATCCTAAAACAGGTTATGCCAGAAATTATTTCAGTTCCTAGCCAGGCCATTCTAAGCAAGGAACTGTAAAAAGTCTCCCTCTTTTTTTTCAGCCTTATTTCCTATAATCTGTGACAGTCACAAGACCCAGACTGCAATCAGCAGCATGCAAGGATGCACACAGGCTGCAGGTGGGGAACAAAAAGCCAAACCTACTGCTCTCTGGCGATGGCTCATGCCAAGGGTCGGAAAAAGCTGCTTTCCTGCCCACTGACAGGTGTCTGCTTTGGGGTCAGTGCCCTGGATGGGTACACAACCCTGCTCCTCCTGCCGACATTTCACAACACAGAAGATGAGACAACAACCTAAGCCTCAATCAGATACTAAGATGCTGCAAAACACAAAGACTTGCTTGCTGAGTCCCTTTTCATCAAGCACTAGTTATGATCATGTCTACCAGCTCCAGTACATGAACATACACTGAAAATGTTGGTCCTGAAGTCCAGGAAGTCCCAGTCTGGAAAATAAGATGGGTTTCTACATCATTCAAGCAGGGTCAAAGTCAGGGCAACTTCCCTGTGAAACTGCTTGCGGTTCCTGCAACAAGATTATTTTTCCCCCTCTAATAGCATATCCCCACAGCATATCAAAATTAACATCAAAGGGAAGGTTCTTGTTTTCAGTAAGAGGGTTTTTTCAAAGATGACACCTTAGTTACTGTTAACACAGAGAGGCTGTCTTGTGACATCTGAGTTTCTATCATGTCAGCCAAGTGGTGAAAACAAACCTGAAGGAAACATGCAATGCAGATGTGGCAGCCCAAGTGCTCAGAGAAGGAACAAAACCAACCCAGTCTGCTTTAAGAAATCAGATCAAGGGCTTGTCACATTTACTTTAGCTAGAACAAAACACATAGCCCTGTGACATGACTGTGATCCCAGCATAAGGTCCTTGAAATGCCACAGCTGAACTGCATCCAGCTCTGGCAGCAGGAATATCTGAGTAGCTTCCATGCTCCTGACACAAAAGCATGGGGTTTCACATCTAGGTGTAGGATACAACCTAATTTTACCTTTTTCGTTTTTTTAATTAAAAAAAGGCATGCTTCTTTTGTGCCTTTCAGCATCTTTGCATTTGTGGCTGCTACAGACCTTACAAGCCTGCACTTGCCTTGGTGCAAGGCAACGGATGTTAGGCTGAATAGGACTGAAACCAAAGCTCCTTTCTAGTCCCCAGGGTTACTAGACTGCTCGTTCCCTGCCTGGGGCCAAGCACTGCTCTGTTTGCTGGGAGAGGGGATAGCCATTGCTGGTCTCCCAGCATGGAACAATGCCATCTCTGTTCAAGAGCCATTGACCATTTACAGGCTGTTACTTATAACATCTTTTATTCTTCTACAAGAGCTTTCTGATTTTCTGACCCAAAGACCCTCAAAACCCACTCGCCAGTCTGACCCTTCGCCATCCAGCAGATCCAAGTGACATCAGCTACCACATGCTTAACACTCCCACTAATTATTAAGGGAAATATAAAACAGGGATCAGAGATCGCCACCACTCCACAGCAGTCACGCTGGATCCTGTCTGCCCCCATCATCTGACCCAGGAAAGCCAAGGTGTGCTAAAACCACTCATCATTACCCACCCCAATCACCCTCCAGGACCTGAAGGAATTCCCTGTACCCCACTGGAATTTGGTGGTTTACCCACAAGGTCACTAACCAATTAGTGCTAACTTCTAATTAGAAAGAACTAAGTCACAGGAGAACCTCCAATTTTGCCTGTGGAGCACACTGATTAACAACATAATTAGAACCACCCTGAAGTGAACAGAAGGATTATAAAACTCGAAGCCCACCTCCACCCCATCCCTGCTGTCATTAAGATGATTTTGTTTCTGTTTTGGTTTTTTAAAAAAGATTGAGACTACAGCTGGTCATTGGCTGGTTGAACTGGATATGACTTCTGATAGCTGGGTAAGGAGGATGCTCTGCCCAATGCTGTCCCTACAGCTATGTAAACGTTCTTCAGATATTCCTCTCTATACAGCCCTTTTAACCAAGCTCAATTTTCTGCCAAAGACTTCCAGCAGGAGCTAGAAGCAGTCCAGCCAAACACCCCACTCCTGCTGCTAAACATGAAGGCTGCAGAGGCCATGGCAACAAGGTAATGACAGGTTTCAGCCCTCCCCTGTGCAGGGTGCTGCAAGCAGAGCAGGTCAGTCACAACACTCCTCCCCTTACCAGTAAGGGTCTTGTCATTAGGTTCAAAGGCGTTTTTGATACATAAGGTTTGTAAGAGGAACATATAACAGATACTATTTATTAAAACAAATTCAGTTTCAAAGTGGTGTTTGGTGCAGAGTTCATTTTAACACCAAAGCCAAGACATAATGTTAGTGTTTCCATTCCTGATTTTCACAGACAGGTGTATACAATGTTATACCTAGGTGGCTTCTCAGGGGCACAGCTAGGAGCAAAATACAACATCTAAGTATCATTCTAGACAAATAATTCTAGACAAAAAATTCCCCCCAGGTAGATTTACAAGGAACATCAGCTGGGCTTGATGCTCAGTCACATCTCCTACATCACATCATTTCTAGGAGGTGGAGATACAGAAGTGACCTGTGGTGTGCACTGCCCTCTGTTCTCACAGGGCAGGGAGCCAGCTGGGCACACAAACGTCCCTGCTGTGCTCCTGCTTGCACAGGGAACCAGAAGTGCAAGCATGGCAGCAGCATTTAGGAAACCTTTTTTTTAAGCTATGTAAGTCAGAACAGGACTTTTACCTTGACTGATAACCCAGAAATTTCTAGGAAAGCTTTAAAATATTAAAGACTAATGAGTAGAATCAGGCAATGTTCCAGAGATCTCTGGTTTTTCTATTGGCTTTTTGAAAGCCTGTCTTATCATAAGGATCCATCACACATACCCTTCCATACATATATTTTTTCTTTTCCTCCTTACCTTGTCACTGTTTCTGTATTTGCCCCATTTCTTCAGCATCTTAAGCCACTTGTCCACACGTTCTATTTCCTGCTGTTTTTGCTGGTGCAAGAGAGAAGAAAAGACAAGAGAAATTTAAGAAAAAAAGCCCCAGGAGATGCCTCCTGAAAACACAAAACTTCATTCTCTTAGGTTTAAACTTCTATGCAAAGACCTCACATCAGGATTGGAAACAATCCACAGGTGTGTACAGAAACTGGTAATTTCAGCACTTGGTAATTAAAAGCAGCATTGGTGAAAATGACAAGACACACAGGCTTAACACAGAGAAAGCATTCCCAAGACTATTCCTTGACAATAAAAATCCTTGCAGGTCGAGCTAGACTCAAATCCTGTCACTGTATCAGATCAGCAGAAACATGATTCATTAGCAGGGTCCTAAAAGAGGACATGCTCTCAATCTCAGGGGAGATGAGGATGGAGATGATGGTTACCTACAACTTCCACCATATTCCCTTGCACATGCAGTCCCCTTGATGAGCCACAGCTGCTGAGCACTGTGCCAAAGCAGAGGGAAAAGCTCAATATTGCTTTAAGAGGTACTTTTTCAGTGTCGTGTGGAGAGGAAAGTTGTCTGACACAGCAAAATAAAAACTCCAACAGCTGGGCATTGTGCAGAGTCCCCACCTCTGGGCAAGCAGCAGTGACCAGTCAGTGCTGGCTGCCTGCTTTACTCTTACTTGCTCACTCGTTTCCCCAAAAAGCATTCCCTCCCCAGCTGGTGTGAAAAGGATGCCACATCCATGATGACAGAGCTGGCAGCTCTCACCTTCTCCTCCAAGGCGGTACGGGTTGGCAGCTCCTGCTCGCTGGAAAAGCAAGGGGTCACTCGTTACTCCACAGGCAAGAAAGGGTGTGGAGGAGCACAGGGTGCTGCAGCTCATGGACAACCTCAGACACCTGAGGGGGTATGTCCTGGGGATTTTGTGCCCTTCCTACAGCTGTCCCCAGTATGAAAGAGGCAGGGGAAGCACCATCCAAAATTCCACCACCCAACAGGAGCTCTGGGGAGTAATCAAGCACTGGACATAACTGGAAATCCTGGGCATGTATCTCCTCTTCAATACACACATGATCAGCAATTTAAAGGGTAGGGAAGCAGAATTTTTGGACAGCAATTTTTTAAACCATCCCCCTCCTGTACACAGAACACCTACAATTGTAACTTTTCTTCAGAATCAGAATAAAAATAGTTTTTAAGCATTCTTCCCAGGCACAGGGTATGTATCTAATTCATGTGCACCTTGGTTAGGATGGAGATTTCCTAAGGGAACCAAAGACGATCAGGTATCTTGTCTGGTCTCTTCCCGTGCCTCCCTGAATCATCAGGTGCAAACACAAGGGCCTCTCCCTCTGACACACTACAGAGGCACAGGAATACCAGCCTGCACCTTCTAATGCCAGGCTTGTGGTAGGAAACCATTTCTGAGCCCTGCCTTGCAGCAGATTTAAAGCATCAGTGTCTGGACATGCACAGCTGAGGAAGGAGGCCCATTTAGTCTTTCCTCTTGCATTTGGGATTGATCAAGCCAAGCCACAGAGCAGCTTATGGGGGAGATGCTGGGCCAGTCATGCTCAGTGCAGAAGGATGGTCCACACACACACAGAGGTCAGAGAGGAAAGGAGAGGGCAGGAGGACTTACTGCAGGAATCCAAACCGGTCTGTAACTTTGTAGAGTGTGAAATCAGCATCTTCCCACTGGTCAATCTGAGCTCCTTCCTGTCTGCCCTGAAAGCAGAAAGGACACCTGTGAGCTTGTCCCAGCATCAGGAATGCCCTAGTGCCTGCACCCCGCACCCAAAGCCCACATCCCTCTCTCCCAAATGATAAAAGGCACAGAAACCAAGAGAGCAAAACCTGGACTAAAGAGCCAAATACAAGGCAGGCAAGAGAAAAATGCCAAGTTCAGCCTATCCAGCATTCTATATATGCTTTTGCTAGAGGCTAGGAAAAACTGTACATCAGAAAAAACAGTGCTGTTTGGTATATGCCATGCTGGTGTTAAGGGAGCACTGAAGCACCAGAAGCTCAGCACCTTTCAGTATCTATGCTGAGCAGACATGGGACCCTCAATAAACTCCAGGGATGTAGTGAGAGGGGATATATAGGAAGGGAGAGCTGGCATGAAGCCTAATGGCATGAGGGTTACTGGGGCGATGCCTGCAGGGAGGCAAAAGTTCTTATCTGATGCTTTCCTAATTGATTAAACAGCTTCAGTCCCAGCCAGCATGCTGGGGAGAGGCACGAGGCTGGTACCTTCTCATACTTGGCGACGATTTCTGCTTTTTCCTGGGCTATTAAAGACTCTATATCCTTCTTCATATCAGAAGCTGTAAGGGGAAAAAAAAGCAAGAGGGAAAGGAGATAAGTAAATGTACACAGCATGTGAAATATTTTAGGGAAGTGCTAATACAAAAAACGTTTGCTGACTATTTTAGCTTCCAGCCATATCCCACAGCTAAAATTAGGCTGAGGTTGCACAGCCGCTGTACAGAGTGTTTGTAGAGCTTGCCTGCACACAGCAGGACCTCCAGCTCCCTGCTCTGGGACACAGCCCAGCCTGAGCAAGGGGAGTCTTGTCTTTGTTCTCAGGCACACACATGACAGTATGAAAGACTTGGCTTTTAAATCCAGACACAAACCAGCCAAGAACACTTGCCCAGCATGGGACAGGTGCCAGCTGGGCACACAGCATCCATGTGGATGACAGCAAACCACTGTGCTCCTGCCCCACCTATGGATGGGAAGCCAGGAGATGCTCTGTAGGGGCATCCAGAGGCAGATTTAACATCAAAGAAGAAACTGAAAGAAGTTTTTTCCTACTGAAGTGTGCATAAGACAAGTGAATTGGCCTCTAGGTGATTACCTTCTGTGGATGCTAGCTTTGGAGCAGGCTACAGGCCCCATGGCCTCTTAGTCCTGCCTGAGAGCTAGCCTAGGAAATTCATAGGAGGATTTCAAAACAATCCTCAGAGACAGAAAACAACTGCCAGGTGCTGTTTGTCTGTCCTCTTGTTTTCCTTGCAAGAGAAGGTCAGGGGGTGTTGTGCCCCACTGACCAATGATGGTGATGTGTTGATTTGCTAACCAATAAGAGTTTCCTTTCTGTACTTTCCACGTATCTGTCTATAAAACAAGCCTAAAGTAATAAACTAGAGAATTCTCCTGTTCTGACTCCCCTGAGAGTCTGTGTCATTCTTTTCGCCGTTCCTAATTAGAACGACACCTTCTATACACAACTCCAAAAGAAAACAACATAGCAGCAAGATGCCCCCACCTGGGCTGAGAAGGACCAGTCTTGGTCTAAGCAAGACCCAGTCTAGGTACCTGAGGTCTGTGCCCACTGTTCTGCTTCATCCCATACACATATGTATGAGCAAGGTAACTTCTCACATCAAACACACCTTGAGTGTTGTCCTGTACAAGCCCAAAGAAGCACCCTCCCTGTCAAGCCATAACTAGTTCCTCATTCACCAAAGGTGGATCTAACACACCAAGGAGAAAATGTAGGCAAACAAAACCCCCAGGGAACTGCAGTTCCCAGGGATGGCTGCCAGGAAGAGGGCTGAGGGAAGGTCCACCAAGTCCTTCTCCTCTGAAACTCTATGGAGCCATGACAGCCCAGCTCAGACCACATAACAGCTATGGCACCACCAAAAGCCAGGCCACCACAGGCCACAATACCCAAACCTTTTGACCATTGTAGCTCTCTAATGGATAGCTTAAACCACAACTAGGAGCCATCCAGACCTCCCTTGAAGGGTTCTTCCCATAGGACATGCTATCCCAGCATCTGACTGAAGGCACATCTCAGCAGTGGTGCTGAACACTGAAAGAGAGCAGCCAAAGGCATCACTTAGGATCATCTGATGAGTGGGATAAATTAAGGAGGAGATATCAGGGAGATATGATGAGCAAAAGCATCAGCACTCTCCAAGGCTCACCCCACTTGTCTGTGCCTTCAGACACCTGGAAGAGATTGATTGTCTCACCTTAACTCCTTAATGCAACCTGCTCGCTACCACCATGTCTTTCAGGCCTAGATGGAGATGGCCAAGAGATCCAGCTTTCCCTAACTCTTCATTTTGAAAGCAGCTATTTCTCCTAGTTGTCAGCTGTGTGATAGAAATATTGTATCACATGCAACATAATCAGGGCTCTTCCATGACCCCTTATCAGGCAGCAGCACAGGTATGGCACCACTTTACACTCATCCATTCAGATACTGGAAAAATGCAAATTCTTCAAATTCACACCAGGAATGGGTGTGTCTTCCTCTGTTATTGACTCCACAATCAAAACTGAGCAAGGACAGAAATATTAAATTGTAATTTGTTCTTTTATTTTTCCAGGCTGCAGCTCCTACTTCAAATTTGAACTTTGATCAGTACATGTTAATCACAGTTTAATTTTCAAATGTAGCAAGGTCTGAGTAACTGTCTCACCATATCACCTAATGCTTCTGCATCTCCTCCTTCTCACATCTCCTGTGAAACATATAGGCAATTTCACTCCCCCAGTTCTGACTTTGTTGTTGTTGCTGTTATGGGGCCAAAAAACTCCAATGATGTCTTTTACATGCTGCTAAAAATATAAATATTCTGCAGGCGACAGGGGAAAAATAAACTGCACATCAGATTAAATGGGCAATTTTTCAAGACACTTACAAAGTGAAAGCTATTCTGAACATCTCTGGCCACACTCTAAGAGAATAACAAAGGAAGAGCAACTTGGTACCATGGGAGGATTTGCACAGCAAGAACACATATATTTTGGCATTCACCTCTGCAAAAGCCTCTCTGCAGCCAGAAACACCAGACTTGTGCAAAGGAGCCAGTTTTTCATCTCATGCCTGGAATATGCACATTTGTTTTCTCTTTCTGTAACAGTGCAAAAGTCCAAATTTAGGAAAATCTTGAAAGCAGAGAAAATGGTTGATGCCAGTGGGAAGGATGGAGATGGCAAGTGGCTTCACCAGCCTTGGGGTGTGACCACACGGTGCTGCGCTCAAGGAGGTGGTTGTCAAAGTACTCTGGAGAGGGAACAGAACACAGCTTAGTTCTGTAACAACATATACTGAATAGGGGTGTTTTTATTATTTAATTCTGCACATGCTTGAACTCCAGAGTAGTTTTGACATCATGATGTTATTTAGCCTTTACTTGAGGGAAATGACATCTCGTGTGCATTGAAACTACTGAGATCTATTTTCTGAAAGATTTGATGAAACACATCATTTTTTACTTGATGCAAACAGGCTTCCTATAAATAGGAACAGGTTGTACCTGCCATGCCTCTCCATATACCTATGTATGACTGCATACTTTTTTTTTCTAAATACACAAAAAACTCAAATTACTTTCTCAAGCCTGCCTCCCAATTTTCTCCTGAGAGCACTGTATTTTCCTAGCAAAGAGATTTTTTTCCCATGACAAACACACAAGATGGAGCTGCTGTGAACAGAAATAGTAAGAAAATGTGAACTATGCAACAATGGTATTAGATAATTTACTAGGATATAAGCAACAGAAAGCCCTGAACCATGCACATTTAAATTCAACCCTAAAATAAAGTTATGAATTAGCTCCTTTTAGAAAGAATGAAAACACACACAATCTGTCATCTCACACTAACACTTGCAGCTTCCAGTTTACAATTTAAGGAAGTAAAAATTAATACCAATGACAATAAGCCTAAAGATGTTTAATGAAAATGCACGTGTTACTGCCTACCCACATTGAACATTATCAAACCATCAGCAAACTTGACATAAAATATCCAATTTTTGAATGAAAGCAACTTTCCTTAAATTAATTCACCAGCTGGGATCTCAAATATTGGCAGTGAGAAGAAAGTATATGCATGAAAAATCCAAGACTTGTCCTCCATAAATCAGATTTACTGTTATACTCTTCCCACAAGCCCTGTATTTTTCCAGTCAGATCTGCCAAGCTCCCACTGTCCCATATACGATAGTACCCGCCAGGACCAGCCTGGCTGGGAGATGGGAACCTCTGCCCACCAGTCACCAGCCCAGTGCTGCAGCCCTGCTTGCTGCCCAGGAGAACTGAGCATTTCCCATGGCCCAGCAGCAGTGCTCCTTGTGACACAGCCCAGGACACACACATGTCCCCTGTCACCCCCAGCCACGACACAATGTCTCACGCTTATCAATTCATCAGCAGTCATCGTGCTTGGCAGATGGGCTTTTGAAAATGAAAATATCAATAAAATCTCTTCTTAGGAAACACAGCATAGCAACATGTTCTCAGTCTCAGGATGGATTTGAGGATATTCTGGAACACAGTTTTAAAATCTTTTGTACTGCAGAACAGGAACTACTCAAGTCATTTGAGATTAAGACTACGTGTTTGTAGTTGGTTTCTATTAGGCAGAAGGTCACTGAAAAAGCAGAAATGGGTTTAGGTGAATGTGTGTTCTCATTCTGAATGTGCCCACTTAACTTTAAACAGAGACTGCTGCTAGGACAAAAAAAAAAAAGGCAAGTTTTGACACACCGTACTTCACTACAAATCTGGCCTCTATCAGAGTCAAACTACTGCTGTGGAATAAAGTAAAAAAGGTATGTACTCACTACAGTCACACCCACCACTGTTGAAACACAAGTCACCGTTCCTGTTTCACATTCTATTTTAAAAGCACATTTAAGCACAGCATTTTATGTCTTTAGCCATCTATGGTATCAGCTTGCAATTTTTGATTTATGGAGACAGTTTTAAAGGAAAAGCATATACACCTATGTAAGTGAAAATGCTTATACATCTGCTAAGAGGCAAAAGCCTCTCACAACATACACATGCAATCTGCAAGCACTTTTAAAGCTACTACTCACTTGTAAAGCTACTACTAGCTGTAACAGTGACTCATGGACTTGCACACCCTGGAATAAACCTGCCCATGCAGAGCAGTGAAAGCAACTAAAGCAAGCTGAGAGAAGTTGAGTAAGCCCCATCAGGGCTTTTTAAGTGCATGAAACGGGCACCTTGAAATGATTCAAACCACACAGGCTAAGGGCTTGGAGCAACCTGCTCATCCTGGCTGCGTGGTAGAATCTGGGGGGACAGTCAGCAGCTGCAAGCCAAAAGGAGCTGTCATCAGAGGCTCTTTTCCCACATGCTCAAAGCCTTTCAGAAGCAAAGCCATGGCATTACACCACTGCACATACCTACCATGCACAGCCAAAGTGAGCTCAGCTTTGGGACTGCTCTGACTGCATCGCCACAGCCTGAGGAAACCTCAAAGCCCCCCAAGGCACTCAGGAGGGGCTGTGGGCTGTTACAGGTGGGAACTGACATGCCTGGCTGTGTGCCTGTGAGGTGATGAGCCGAGGAGGAAGTGATGGCCACGCTGTTGACTGCAGGCAGAGCTTTTGCTTCCTGAGAACCAGCCCCATGCGGAAGTCAGCCTGCTCCTGGGGCTGGGTACAAGACTGGCCAGCACCCTCATCTCTGGTATTGCAGCTGCTGCAGCAGCGATTTTTTACTAGACCCCCAAATTTCTACTCCAGAATGGACAACACACTCAATGCACTTGCATCGAGGACTTGTGCTGACCCCCAGATCTCCAGATTCTCACTCATTAACAAACCCAGAATCCTGACCAGCACCACTTCAAAATGCATCACTGCACTGTGCATCCCCAACCTTAGCTCAAATCCAGCACACGATTACATCTCTGCTACCAGAAAGAAAATCAAAACCAGCACTTACAAAGTGAACTACAGCTTCAGGAATGAAATTACTATCAAGCAGGATGAAGCAAGATACAGGAGATCCTGTTTGCATATTTATTTCCTTGACTACAACCCAGGAGAACACAAGCAAGCTTTTTTGTTTGTTTGTTTTAAGAGCATAAGGAGCACTAAGCCAGCTAAATTGCAGGAAGGTTTGTTTTAACTGTCTTGGGGTCTTTGAAAATGACTGCCCATAGATCACTTTAGATGAATCACAGATGTGCTACAGAAAATTCAAATAGTATCCTGTCCTAGTAAACTTGCATTGCATCTGAAACTGCACTGGATGCTGGGCTAGATAAAACCACAGTCACCTCCCTCACCAGAAGTAGTGGGAACACCAACTGCAACTCACTTTGATGCCACCAGCAATACCCCAACAAGCCAGAGCATCCAGCATCATTGTAGATGAGATCCTGCTGATTTACTAGCATGTGTAACCACTGTATATGACAGCCCTCAAGTGTGATTCTCATTTGCTCCAGAGCCAGTTTGTGAGTTTGGAGAAGACAGGATAAAAACACAACCCCAGCTCCAAGCAATGTGCCCTTACCTGAGCCTTGTATCAGGTGCCAAGATTCATCAGTTCAGCTGGAGTTGTCCACTCCCCTGAAGGCATTTACCTGGCAGGAGCCAGTTGTCTCTGCTGCAGGGTGGTGGGGATCCTCAGTTGTGACAGCCCACCAGTGGAATACCCTCTGGCTCACCCCCACCACCCCAGCTTCACGTGGCTGCTCTCCTCCACCCTCGTCCTCTGGCACGTGAGAGCTCACTGCAGGCGGCTGGGAGAAGAGGCAAGGCAGGAGGCAATCCACACTCTCGTCCCCTGGGCTCACTGCAAGGGAAATAAGAAGTTGGTCAGTTTTCCAGTTCTGGCACAAAAAAGGCACCATCCTTTACCAGCACAGGAGTCTTTGAACACAGATGAAAGGCAGGTCCCTTTGGAGCTGATGGGGAAGGAATACTCTGTTATGGCAGGGCATACAATGGTAGAAAGTAAACTATGCTCCTTTTCCATTGCAAAAAAAAACAACCTGGTGTGGGGTTTTTCTTGCCATTTTCTACCCTGGTTAGGTCCTAGGATTTCCCATGCAGGTCTGAAAGCCCAACACAGCTTTATACCAGCAGGCACAGTGCACTGGTAACTCAGCAGGTCTCACACCCTTTCAGAGGTAGCCACTATCATAATCAAGCAACCCATTACAAAGATTATATTTTATATATGTTATCACCTAGCAAGTTATAATGCATCTTATACACATTAAATGCAGATTACACACATTTGCCTCTATTCTCCCAATTTGCACCAAGTTTTTACAGTACAGTTGCAAGCTGCGGTGACAACGATGACAACACTTTGCTGCTAGACTACAGCAACATCAAGAAACCCAAATACATTGGCCAAGTCTCCTAGTTATAGAAATAACAAAAGACATGTAAGACTGCAACTCTATGCTATCCATCCCCCTCAACACGAGCAGCACTACCAATAAATACAACCTCTCTCAACCCTCTCCCTACTACTCCTCTTCCTTTGCTGCCAGTACTCACAGGCTCTCATTCTCACACACATTTTTGGTGTCCTGGCACTCTTCTCCCCAAGGATGGAGATGGGAGGAGATAAACAGGAGGGCTGATAAAGAGATTTGGTCTCCTCTCTGCTTATGCTCAGTAAGTCCAGCTCAACTCTGTTGCAAAGCCAGAAAATTCAGCTTTAGACATAAGCTAAACCCTCTTAACAGAGGAGTGAATCTATAAGCAATTCTTTGTCAGCTTCTATTTTTAGAACTCACGGGGAATAAAAGAGCATCCAAACATTTCTGAAACTCTTTTTAATGTGAGCTGATCTTGTAGAGACAATAGCCAAAAAAAAATCCAGACGAAGGACTGTACAAAAATCAAAGACGCATGAGTTATTTTTTTAAAACATCGTTATATAAATGATTTTTCATTTGAAAACATAAGTAAACTGAAGAATGCAAAGGTCCGCATGCTTCTTTTGTGAATTGAAGATTATTTTTTCTCTTTGCATTCCCTTCTTTTTCTATTCCAGTGTCTATTAAAAGGGGACACAAAAAAAATCCAGAGGGAAAAACAAAAAAAATCCTCTTTTTTTGGGGTGATGCACTGACTTGGAAGGGAACTATATCAGCACAGAGCTTAGTAACTGGCTTCTTCTATTTGCTTAAGACTAGAAAAGCAGTTTGCATTTCTTTAACCATAAACTAAAGGAAGCTACAATGATGGTCGTTCTCCACTTAGACAGGCATTCCTCCTGAAACACTGTATTTTATTCTTTTTGGTATATGTACCAACACTACAGGACACATTACTCTTCCCCTGTCATTCTTTGCTCCAGCTATACTTGGCAATTTTGGGTAAGCTAAAGGCTCCTTTTGCTATTTAAAACTTTCTCTGGTTTTGGCACAATCAGCTGGAGACCACCCACCCCAACATGTACCCGAAGCAGCAGAGTGAGGACACATGTCCTCGCTGATACCCAAGATCTCACCCTGGGCACTGCAGAGCTAGTGATGCTCCCTAGCCAAAACCAAAGGAACAAGGATGCAAACATAACTGATCATGCTGCCACCACCCTGTGCTCTCTTTGGCACAGACAGGCAGCATCTTTTTCAAAACACATGCAAGGAAATAAAAAATGTATCATTATATAAAGTTGCTGGTGCAGCCAATGAAATAAAAGAGCAGGAAGTTAAAAATCCACTAACAAGATGCAGCTTGTCTGTGAAAAACTTGTCCAAAATAATTATTGAGGGGAATGACTTGTATGCTGCAGATATTTGAGTTGAAGTGAGACTTATTCTGACTCTGTGTCTTATACTGCTTTCCAGAGCCTCTGGCTTCACCTCTTTTTTAGGAGGGAGGGATCTTCAGCCATTAGCCTGACCCCAACTAATGCTCAGCCGATAGGAACCACCCTCATTCCTTCAAGCACTTTAATGAGTTTAATCAGCACACACTGCCTCCAAATACAGAACCCTTGCAGGAAATTATTTGTCTTTGGCAGTCTCTGCTGATGACACTCCCTGACCATTTTACTGGCAGTATCCTGGACTTGCATAAACTTCAAACAGCATCTCCAGATGCTAATACATGAGCTTTTGTTAACTTGTTTTCTTCTATCAAAGCCCCATGCAAGCATATCCAGTAATAGAAAACTTGAGGGCAACAAGAAGTATTTGATCCAACACTGGAAAGTACTGAGAAAACGTCTCCCAAAGCTTTTTTAACAAGGTTAAAACAAAGCATATAGTTCCAAAGCTTGGAACTATATGCAGGACAGCATTAGGATACGTAATTTTTCCAAGTCGTATGAAAGGAATCTTTTTAATTACAACATAACTTTACTCTTCCTTTTTGCTTGTTGTTAACTCCTAAAATCACCCCAACTTAAGAAATGAAGGATTTTTTTATTATTTTTTATTTTTTTTTTTATTTTGCATGTGTGTGCAAAGACAACATTTTATTAAAATCACAGAATGATAAAATGGTGTGATCTGGAAGGGGTCTTGGAGATAATTTCATTCCAACCCCTATTCTAAGAACAGGGATGCCATTCACTAGACCAGGTTGCTCAGGGCCCCACCTGGCCTGGTCTTGAACACTTCCAGGGATAGGGCATCCACAACTTCTCTGGGCAGCCTGCTCCAGTGCCTCACTATCCCCTAAGAAATTCTTCCTAACATTTCATATATATTCTTTTAGTTTGGAATAATACACCCTTGTCCTATCCATACATGCCTGTGTAAAAAGTCACTCTCCCTCTTCTCTTTCTGTGCCCTCTTTCAGTATTGGAAGGTCCCCTAATGTCTCCCTGAAGCCTTTTCTTTTCTGGGCTGAACATCCCCAGTTCTCTCTGCCTGTTCTCATAGGAAAGGTGCTCCAGCCCTCTGATCATCTTTGTGGCCCGTCTCCGGACCTACTCTAACAATTCTGTGACTTTTTTATGCTGATGACTCCAGAGCTGGACATGGCACTCCAGGTGGGGTCTCATGAGGGCAGAGTAGAGCAGGAGAATCCCCTGTCTCATCCTGCTTTGACTGCAGCCCATGATGCATTGGCTTTCTGGTCTATGAGCATACACTGCTGGCTCATCAAGAGCTGGCTCCAAGAGAGAACCCTGAGGGACATCACTTGTCACTGGCCTCCACCTGGACATAGAGCCGCTGACCACAACTCTCTGACTACATCCAACCAGCCAATTTCTTTTCTATCCAGCAGCCCACCCTTCAAATCTGTATCTCTTCACTTTAAAGAAAAGGGTGTCATGTGAGACCAAGTTAAAGGCCTTACACAACTCATGTAGATGAGACCAACTGGTCTTGCCTTGTTGAGTGCTGCAGTCACTCCACCAGAGAATGCCACCAGGGTTGGTCAGGCACGATGTGCCCACAGTGAAGCTGTGCTGGCTGTGTCAGATCACCTCCTCATCTTTTGGACGTGCCTTAGCATTGCCTCCGTGAGGATCTGTTCCATGATCTTCCCAGCCGCAGAGGTGAGGTTCATTGATCTGTAGCGTTACCAAGGTCCCCCTTTCTACCCTTCTTAAAAACAGATATGATGCTTCCCTTGGTTCCAGTCACCAGGGACTTTGCCTGATCATTGTGACTTTTCAAAAATTCCAGAAAATGACTTGCCAACAATATCACCCAGTTCCCTTAGAATCCTGGAATGCATCTCATTAGGGCCCATAGACTTGTGCTTATCCAGTTTCACCAGATAGTCTTGAATGTGGCACTTCACTTACATTGGGAGGGACTTAACTCCCCCAGTTCCCACCTGAGAGATGTGGAAAGTCTGACTGCCAATGAAGAATGAAGTAAAAAAATTGCTAAGTACCCAAGCCTGATCCTGATCTGTTATTAGCAGTTTTCCCTCCTCATAGTGGTTGTCTTCCCTTTGAGGGAATTGTCCACACAAGAAGTCCTCCCCTATTCTCTTAGTGGAAAACATGTTTATAAAACCCAACCATATGTAAAGACTTAAGGCAGAGGTAATACTTCAGCTTATGAAACAGCAATGGTCATGTAGGACACCCTGTTAAAAGCAGCTTTCCAGATTAGGAGTTAATATGAAAATAACTCAAGTATTCTTGTGGTTTTTGAACAGTGTTGAAAACAAAATCTGTGCCATTTGGTCAGAGCTTTGAAACACATCTCACAATTTACTGTGTATTTGGCTGTCAGCACTTTACTGTGGATGATATAAACTTTTTATAGTTTTATAAACTATAAAACTGCCACAGGGGCCGAAAGAGACACACAGCTTTCCAGACAGGGAAAATCAAATGGTACCGACATTTTGGAGCAAGCCATATTATTTCACTAGCAGTTTCTGTATTTAAGTTATAAGTACAATGAAATGATGCTCAGGGGACTGGTGGAAGAACAGCCAGATGGGTTGGTGCTGGATCCTGGAGCCCAGGATCCAAGGCAATGTACAACTGAGGGAGCCAGGTGACATGGAAAGACATCAAACCAGATGCCACCTTTCCATTACTAGGTTTTCAGAGGCATTCAGAACCTTTGATCAAACATGCTTGAGAAAGCAACACAAAGAACTTCAGAAAAGCCCAAGCTCAGAACCACAGAGGATCTATTGCCAACACTTACTGTTTTGCATGTCCTCAGCACTTGTGATGTGAATAATGGACAGCAATGGGAGTGGGATAAAAGCAAGTCAAAGGGGACCAGAGCAGGCTCAAGTCTATTGATAGAAATACATGAGAAAGGTTTTTCCAGTGAAAGCTGGAGCTTGCATGAAGGAAGTGACAGTATGAATGGAAGAACTAAAAAACTCACAACACCTTTTCTT